TATTTTATTCAGCAGTCAACTATGAAGTCTTTTATGTTTTTTGATCAATAGTTTCCTATTTTATAACTTAAAATACAATTAAACATTTTGGATTGTCTTAAAAATATATAGACTAATAAACCATATTCTGCCGTTCATTTAATCAATATTTGAATTTTACACATCCTTCCTTTTTATTTGTTCTGTCATTTCTTTCTCAGGTCACAGGGAATCCTTCACGCCGTTTCCGGTACAGAGACAGACAGGATTTGGCCTTATATCAACTCCCTCCTCAGCGCCAAGATGCACATGCAGCCGTCAGATGCCTTCCAGACCCAGACACCCCCATGAATGAAAGGAGAACAGGCGGAAACATGAAGAGGCCACCACAGGAAGATATGTGATGTTCCAACAAGCTGGTCTCAGATTTCAGGTTCCTTTATTTTGAGGTTTAGAGGCGGATAAGGATTATGATCAAAACTGTAGTTATCCAATATGTTGTGATTTAAACGACAGTTTTTCTCTTAAATTAATGTATGTTAGAGCTTTATTGATTGGGTTGATTGTCTGCATCATAGCTGAATGTTCAAATATTTCAAGGCAATATGCATCAATACACATTGAATTAAAATAAAGGGTAGCTGTGGTGACACTAAAGGTTAAGAGAGAAGTAAAACAGTTCAAAGATTTAGAAGAGAAGGATTCCCTTCATTAAAGCTGCCTAGTTTCAAGATTGTATCTTCAACAATAGAGGAGTATGGTAGAATATTGAAATACGGACCAACATATCACAGTCCGACATTAAATATGTGATAGTGAACACTAAAATTGATTATGAACATTTGCAAACTTTAATGATGGCAAACAAATGGAATATTACTTATAAATAATCTGTTCTCGTTCCACATTTGAATGATTACACGTTAAACAAACATTTAATAATCAGGCAAACAATATCATATTGTCGCCTCTTTGATCTATAGTCATAATTTTGGTGTGGAACCCTCCAACTTATTTTCCAAAGGCAAGTGACTTAGGAGTTTTAGTATTCATGTTGTATACACATCACAAAATCACTTTAAAAATAAATAAATAAAATCTCAACTTAGATTGAATTGATTCACATCACATATACATAGTGTTGTATCAAAAGCCAATTTTACACGGAAATTAAATGAATCAATTTGGGCGAGAAAGGTTCAGAGTGTGAAATAAGCTGAAAGATATGCAATAATCCTGCAAAGCCATGGCTCATTGTTTGGCTTGATCCGCACAGTATTTCTAGAATATACGTGAAAAATGTGCACTGTATAAACTGCTATTCTATTCTTACTTTTGTACTGAAATGCTGCAGAATAGTATGCACTCTGCAGTTGATAACATGCAGGACAATCTACTGGGCTGGTGCTGGACCTGTCCAATATTCAAGAAGCACTCAACGCCACGCTCTGTGGCTGGGATGAAGACCAATGCACAGAATAAAGAGAACCCCTAATGCCGTTACATTTCATTAAACATGTGGTTGCCTTGAGATTGAATTCATCAAAATGTCAGATAGTGGTTCAAAAAATGCTTTGTTTTGCAGTGGCAGTTCAACTTAAAGATGGTCACTTTTTGGGAAGCATCACGTGTGTAAAGACTTGACTTCTGATTGTTTGAATGTATACATCACTGTTGCAGGGTAGAGAACATGTAAAATGTTGGCTTTGTAGAATTAGTTATTTTTTTAGACAGAAATTAACAACTGAATTAATTATGAAGCCACATTCACCAATGCAGCAACCTATTGCACGCAGATACACATCTTTATCATATTTTTTTTAGATGAATGTTGCCTTTTATCAATGTTTTTTGGTGGAGTTTTTTGAGGGTCTGAAAATAGTCGGTGTTGCAAGTAGGTTGAAACATTTGCTGTGGCATACCAAAGATACAAGATACAAATATTTAGCTTGAGAAAAGATGTCTTTGATAAAGCTGGGATGGCTCAACATGCCAGTCAGTGTTTTGGTTTGTACAGTGAGGGGGAGCTGTAAAAATATGTTGTGCAACCACACCCCAGTGCTGTTGTGTAATATGGATTAAGGGCTTTTTTTCTTTCATATTTTCAAACCTTGCTGTCCTAACATGTTACATTCTTAAAAAACAATAAAAATATGTCCTCAAATCTGCTGGTGTGTGTGTGTGTGGTTTACATAATCATGTACTTGTAGCTAATTGTATACAACAGCATTAATCTTCTGTCCTTTACTGTGTCCTCATTGTTGTCAATGTTAGTCAGATGATCCATACTAATTAAGTTGGGTCTTTGTAGACAAAGACCCAACTTAATTATTTGCTTTCAGGATGTAATACTCAGTGTGAACAATGGATCATAGCAAGTGGGCATGTAACCACAAGTTGAACCTTAGGTATTACAAAGCTCTGAGTGTTTTGAAAATTAAATAGCAGTTTTATTTTTTTAGACATGTCAAGTTTACATTTTGAATACTGTCCTTCCTGGTTGAAACTACAAACAACTTTTGTTCCCACTATAAGAAAAGGACCTCCCTTCTTGCTCTCTGGTCTTTCAAGTGAGCAAAACAGGAAGCAGCAGGTGCACTAATTTGCATATTAAACCTAAAAGCCTAGGGTGGATTTAATGAAGGTATAACAACAAACACGCGTTCGAGATACGACTACTGTGTAACTGTACATCTCCTTTCGTGTCCAATACTCTCAGATCTGTAAATAAACCCCATTTAGATCACTGACGTAGAGCTCGATCTAAATCGTTTCAGATTCTCACGGATTAGTCTCATCTGATGTGTTTACCGTGACACAGCACTATAGTACTGTATGTTCATACGTGGACCATAATTTTGCTCTTAGTGTGTCCAAAACCTGTAATGCTGCACAGTATTGCATTGTAGTTGTTTATTTAGTCACCTATCTTTGTTGTTATGGGGACCTCTACTGGTAGTGATCAGCCGTTTTGTGAGCATAATAATACAAAAAAAGGTTCGACATGTTAGTGAATATCACCAGTGTTGTTTTTTAGACTATCGTGTTCTAAAGGTAAACAGATCGGTCATTGCATTCAGCTCGTTGTTTAGCTCCATCCTAGGTTTTACCAAGCTGTCTCGCTGAGCGGCGCACTTTCTGCTGTCCATCCACACTATGCACTGCAACGCTCATCCACATCATCTACAGATCTACCAATCGCCATCGCTGGACCCAGTTTGTTGCTCATATGCCAAAATGTGATTTATGATGATGCCGTAGCCGTAGCGCATGCTCAGTAAATGTACCGACAGCTTATTCGCGAGATACCGGGGAATCCCTGCAGGACTGTGTGTCTCCCAGGACGTGTAACGCGTTGACCTTTGACTGGCAGCGAATGACAAATCAAAGGTCGGTGTGTGTGTGTGTGTGTGTGTGTGTGTGTGAGAGGAGTCGGGGTTCAAAGCGCATCCCCACCACAGCACAAGACGCATCTCCTGGGAGAATGGTAGAAAGCTCTCTGAAAGGTAAAGTAATCCGTTTTTATATGTAGGCTATTATACGTGATTCGTGAGACGTGCTGTATCTTGCATCCCTAACCAGGTATAGAAGCATCATGATGTGTGTGTGGATGTTACATAATATCAGCTGCCTCTGTAAATGCACACCACTCCCTCCCACCATTGTGCATCTCTGCTCGGAGGGGTTATTACATTCTCAATTTATGAGAAGAATTCATCTTATAACCCACATTCAAGGCCTCTATTTTTGTTTGCAAGAGCATAATTAATGACATGTGTTTTTTTGTGTGCAGCGGATGTCCATTTTATTTTCACACATTAAATATTTCAGTCTGGTTCTGTCAATAACGATCGCTTCTGTTACTCAATTAAATTAATAAATGTCATCGCCTGGACTAGATTTAATTATCAGTGTGAAGGTTGCCGCTTTGATTTCAGCTGGATTTTTCTATCAGCTGATGGAGCGGCATTTCAGGACACCAGTTAAAGGCACAGAGCACTCCGACTGCAAATCGATTAATAGAGGACAGGTGTTTTATTTTTTACGCATAGCCTGTATAGGGTTATAGTTGGCATTTGTATGTGCTGTCCCTTCTATCCTGATTATTAGTATTATCATGATCACTATCTGTATCACGTAGGGCTGGCTCTACATTGAGATGACAGCTCTCTCTTGTTTGGTCCAATAGCCATCTTCGTCATCTCGAATAGCGTCATGCACGTCACGTGAGCAGTTTAACGCTTGGTGTTGCAGGCAGAAATCCACACACACCTTATTTTATATTGCTGTGCTAGTAAACTGCCAATTGCAGTGTTAAACAGGGCTGGAGTAACTAATGTAAAGGAATTAGAGTATTAGCACCAAAATACTGTATAACGTATTAATTATGCATAATGGTCCAAATGCTTTTTTATGGATGTAATTGGTGCAACATTTAAACTTGATTGATATTGTTTTAGGAGCTCAAATAGACTATCTGTCAAGTGGTAGTGGAAAACTAGGGCATCATTGATGCCATAGTCTTTCTCTGAAAAAAAGAGACACATACAGTAGCAGCCAACGAGTAATCTGTCATGTTTCAGTTTTTACCCCACAGAACATGGATTACAGGATCTAAAGTCTCAAAGACATAACCCCAGATTCAAGTCCACCGTCTGTTTATGTCAAGGGAGAGCTGATCCAGCAGATTCCTGCGATTCTGCTTTAACTGTTACAAGGATAATCATTAATCCTCAATATATCCTTGAGAGTGATGGTAAAAAACAATGAAAATATATGAACAAGGCACAGCAGAGTAAAAGGGAATGTCATACTGCTAAAATGGCGTTGAGCATTGCATTAGGCTATTTAGTAATTATTGCAGCGTCTCTGATGCAAGTGTTGCACCAGCTTTATTGTGTGTTTTTTGTTGTTTCTTGTTTTTGTTGGGTGTCAGCTGCATACTGTCAATGGTCGCCCAACATCCGTATGGTGCACAATACAATGCTCACAATAGAGGCCAAGTCTTAAAATATAGGCCAAAATAGCTTGCAATGTTGCTCTAGTAAGAAGATATCCTTTTTATACGTTTTCTTTCAGTGTTTTGTTATTCACATTATTAGTTGATAAGCTTTATTTTCTCAGTAAATTAATATTTTTTGTCTTTAAATGACAAAGCAACTTTGAAAAGATTGAAGTAGTGAATGAAGTTAAAACTATACAAATTATTATTTGATTTATCAAGAAGTTGACCCTTTCATGGATCAAACGATGAACAGACTAAGCTCTACTTGCATCTTTGTGTGGCTCCGGACATGTCTGTCTTTGATCGTGGCAGATATTGTTAGGACCTTAAAGCACCTGCTCGCTCCATCCAACACAGTCACACTCACAAGGGCATCAAAGGGTAAATATTGGTAGGCACAGGGGACAGGAAGCTCCATGGCAACAATGTAGTGGCAGCGCTTTGCGTCCGGTGATGGCGGGGGTATCTTTCCTCCCTTTCGGACATTCCGTTCCTGCTGTGCACTGAGCTCCCGTCTGCTCTCCGAAAAGAGTTTCCCAGGCTCATGTCCTCTTTTCAGAACCATGCAGGGTTTCTGTTGCCAAGGGACAAGGCCAAGGAAGGAAGCATGCCATCAGTGGTCAGTGTTTTGTCCTTCATGTATCCACCCTCATTACACACAAATTACGAGCTAAAATTACAACCATTTTAGATTTTAATTTATTTAATAATAGGATATTAACATTCAAGAATGCTATTAATGAAGTACAGAGGAAATCCTCTTTAATTCAGAGTGAGTTTCCATTTTCTGACAAACTATGGTAAGTTGTTATGCAAAGTTGACAATTTATTTTCGTCTTTGATATACCAGGGCCAGGCGCCCTTGTTCATTATATACACAGGATTTTAATGATAAATGTCCACTATTGGGGGCCTAAACTCATAATTTAGGCCTTGCCAATTTGGTTATTTCACTAGATGTTTTAATGCATTTTGTTTTTACTTTTTAACACTACACAACCATTATCATATCTTCTTAACCATGCCACGTGTAGTCAGGGTTATAGACCATATCATACAGTCTGCATCTGTATTGCAAGCCAGTAGAGCAATGACTTTGCCAACTATTTATATCACCAATAAATCATATAAGTATTTTAAGGCTACAAGTTAGTTTATGCTTTTCTCATTTATCACTAGAATATGTTTTTTGACATGGTTGGACAAAACTAGGATTTAAACATCTGAAGTATAGGCATTGCTATGTGCATTTTTCACAATTGTATAGACATAACAATTTTTCTTGAACATATTTGGCAAATCAATCAATCATGAAAACTAATCAAACATGGGCTGGAACAACTGCCATCTACCATTCCTACACAGAAAACGAATCATAATTGGCTTGAAGCTCATTTGGAAAATTGCTTTTAAAAGGGGAAATCCACCAAGAATGAGAACTGTGTTGTTCATAACATTTGAGTATCAATCATTTTTACATATGGACAGGAGAGCAAATGTAATGACAATGACTATAAAAGACAACATGTTATTTCTAATTGTTACAGAAATTATGTGCATATTGCAACACTGATATTCCCACATCAGGTTTTTTCCCATAAAAAACAACATATAAAAGAGTTTAATGAAAAATAAACATAAAAGAGTATCAGAAGGACTGATTATAGAATGTGAATAATAGATGCAGCAAACCACATGAGAGGATTGAGCGTTGGGGTGGATTTCCCTTTTACTTAGCCGGGGACTAAAGCGTCAGCATCAGCAGCAGCAAAAGCGTCGTAGTAAAATGCGGTGCTGCTGAGAAAAGAGGAGGCGATAGACAGAGACAGAGAGGGAGAGAGAGAAGGGGGAGCGAGAGAGTGAGGGAGAGAGACCACCGGGCAGGATATTTCTCTCCAGAAAACAGAGGCGACCTGTCGTCCTCTCGTCCCCGGACATGTGGTGCACCCAGCGGCAGTAGTAGCAGCGGTGCTTGCGGTGACGGCGCGGCGTTGCCCTTTACGTCTTTGGAGCTTCTTTTGTCTTTAATTTTCTTTTTTGTGTGCTTCGGTAATGAGCTTGCTGGGGGCCTACAAGAAAAAGACCAGTTACGATGGCTATGAATCTTTGCAGTTGGTCGATAGTGGCGGAGATAGCTTCAGTGTCGGAAGAGGGAGCAGCAGCAGCGGCAGCGCCACCATCGCAGGCTCAGTATCGGCCACCCTAGGACCGAAGGCGGGCCCGCTGAAAGAGGAGGACTGCAGCACCATGGACAGCTCAGGTAAGAGACCGCCGCCGTCTACTTGGATGGCATTGTACGCTGACGCGGAGAGTGCTTGAGTAAAATGTGATGACTAAGTATTAATGTGGCCTGCAACTGTCCTGGTGTAAGGGTAGCAGTGGACAACACAATGGCTAACAATAGTGAAGTAGGCTATACTATAATAGCATAATGATGCTAGGCACCTCCTTGAACCCCACTTCAGGGCTCATAGTGGCCCCCAGACTCCACCTATATGCTGAATTGGGCTAAATGCAGAACGGTTTTGGACTTTTTGTCCAACATTTCTAAATATGTGTTGCTAACCAGTCCTGTAAATAGTCTTAAAAGATGACCAATGCATTTGACACACACAGTTCAGACTAGATGTAGTGGTATGTTTTAGATGTGTCAAAAAGATAATGTGAAAACTAAATATGAAAGCATATTAGGGGTGTAACGGTTCACAAACATTTCGGTTCGGTACGTACCTCGGTTTTTAGGTCACGGTTCGGTACGTTTTCGGTGCAGCAGAGAAAATGATCACAAAACATAAAATGTTTTTTTTATTATTTTTATTATTATTAAACTGTGAATAATGTTTTTACTCAAATAAAACAAAATATAATAAAATAAACATTAAGGTGCAGCATTTTGATGAACTGAAATAATCTGTATTTGAACTGTACTGTACTAGTACCTATAAGCAGCCAGCTTGACATTAGGACTTGCTTGCTTGTCATTGTATTTTCATGTTCTTTTTAAGAAAAATTAACATTGCTTGCCGAAAGGGCAGATCTGCTGGCACTAACAATGTCTCCTGCTGTGGAGAACACCCTCTCGCTAGGGACAGAGGTAGCAGATACAGCCAGATAGCGCTTTGCTAACATGGCAACATAAGGATATTTGGCGTTTGTATAATAGCTTTGGCTTGGTCTGAACTTGTTGAGAGTGTTGGAGGCTTAAATGCTAGTGGGAGTTGGGTTTGCACTTCAATCTTTTTTCTTTTGGTACCGGTGATATTCACGTTCGGGTGATGCCTTTTCAAATGAGTGTGCAATTTTTGATGTATTGCCAGCCGCGTAACCAATTTTAGTTGAACAATGCCGACAAACAGCTTTGGTTCGGTCCACCTGTCTTTGTCCATCATCCTTGTACGTAACTGCGAAACTAAAATGTTTCCAAACGAGCTCAACCTTATCTGCGTTGCCCATTTTGACAGTTCCTCAAATTACTGACTAAATTTGAACGTGTCCCTGTGACCAGCTCTCATTAGTATGCCTCTCGTCCAATGAAATGACTTGGTCGCTCTATGACGCGTTGAACCCAAAGCAAATTACACTGAACGCTGCACCTGAGATTTCATTTCAAAAAGTTGTTCATGTTGTAATTATTTTTACGTTTAACGTTATATTAGTTCGGTACACTTCGGTACACTTCGGTACACACGTGTACCGAACCGAATGGCCCACACCGAATAATTTCGGTACGAATACGTATACCGTTACACCCCTAAAGCATATGTATACAAAATACATTACAAAATACCCAGATAACCTAATTACATTTCTCATTTACTTTATCTTATGGTCTTTAAGAGGGAAACCGTGTAGCACTAACGATAAGAGAGTACATATTATGCACGAAATACTCTCAGTACTGAAGTTTAGTCAACTGGCCATAATGGATAATAAGCTTAATCCAATTACAACTTCTATCTGTTTATCATTAATCTGATGGCAAATCCTCATGCTTTATTGAATTCAGTCATAATTGCTGATTTGATATGACACCTTATTACTAATTGATGACATTCTGTCATATGTAAAACAGCCTCTTGGGAAGAATAGTTGAATGATGCCACTACTGTGCCCAATGCTGTCACTGCAACACCCCTCTGCACTGCTGCCACGGTAAAAAAGAATCAAGAAAGTAAATAAAAGTATCAAATTACATTGCTTTCATTCAAATGATTACTTTTTACATTTAAACAGGTCTACCATTTACCTGTAGACAGTGAGGAATTGGCAAATGTTATTGGTTCAAAATCTGTTTTTATCATACAGTATTGTTTAATTTCCAATGAGAAAGGGATTTCCCCCCCCCAAAAAGCACCACTGCTTATATGCATTAAATATAATTATTGGATTTGTAATAAAGGAAGGATAATAAGGAAGTATTTTACTTTTGGTATTTAACGTTTAAGTCTGTTGTGCCTTTGTGCAGTGCTCTGTGCAGACAGCCAGCCTCTAGGGATGAACAGTGGTGTAAAACAAAAGAAGCTGGATGAGGAGGGTCAATGAGGAAAGGGGATTGGGGTTGGGGGAGGGTGGAGAAGGGGGATCAAGTGTCAGATGTCTGTCTGGTTTGCCAGGCCTTATGGAGGGTCTCTTTCATGTATGTGTGTGCCTGTACCTGTCTATGTATCCATCTGTCCAGTTCACACACAGCCTGATACTGAGGGCTAAAGGTTGGCACTCTAAGGTAGACACATTCATTGATCTTTCTGGAAAAGCCCAGAGCTATCTGTTCTGTTGATGCCCTGCTCTCCCACACTGTGGCCAGGCTCTCTGCTGTATTACCTGATGGAGACTGTACCAGAGCCTCCCTCTGGTGTCTGTTTTAGCACTGTTTGTCACTGTAACTGGCTCAGCAGTCTGCACACCCCCACATCCATCTGGCCGCAGACAGAGGCACACAGACTAGTGAACACATTCACACAGATTTGCAGAGAAATAAATGCAACATATAATACAGACAAAGCGTGTAACATACAGTACAGGAGAGCATACATTTAGAGAGCAAAATTAGTATGCAGTATGTTTGCTGGTCAAGCTTTATTTTTGTGTAGTGCATCCATGTCTCATTCACACCAACCAAGATATTGCTGGAGGAATAATTGTGGGTCTCCCTCTCAGCTGTTTATATTTGTGAAAGCAAAAAGATGCATTTGAGGAGGGTGGATGTATTAGTGGGTTTGGTCCCATTTTTTGTACGAACAGCTCTCTTTTTTTTTCCTTTATCAAACCAGATGCCTCTTTACCTGAGCAAATATCTGAACATTGTGGGGGGAAACTTCAGTGTAGCAATGCAGTGGGAGTCACCGACTCAGGAAGGAGACACGGGGAGAGCTGGAGCTTACAGTAGATGTCAAACTCTGATGGTTTATTAGGAGCTTCGGCCGGAGAATTCACACAAGTCACAGAGCCAGAGGTTCTGACTTCACGATAGAGTTGCCACGTCAATTCTGAAGAACTCTACCCCAGACCCATGTATATAGCTAGTTCAGAGAGAATAATCAACATTGTGCATAACAAGATAGAATCATAACACCTCTATCAGCTGACGCCAACAGGCAGGAACAGGGAGACAAAACACTGAGAGCACAGCGGCCAAGGTTACAGGCGTGTGTGCTCAGTCAGGACAGTATGAACTGATAAACTGGGTCAAAGTTATGGGCTTTGAAAATATTTCCCCAACAAACATGATTGGCAGTTCCAGGTCGGTTTTGATGCAGAGCAGGATCCAGGTTTCCCTAATACGTCCCGTCATGCTCACCAATTGGGGAATTTGCATAGTAAGGATGTTAGAATAGAGCAACATTTATATTTGAAATTAGAGAAATGCAAGGGGAAGCTTGCCAGCTATAGGAAGATTGCTATCACTCTCATGTATGTACAGTATAGATCTAATTACACCTTGCAGCTGGTTTACTTAGATGAGCATTAGGCTGGAAACAGGAGGAGTCAGTTAGGCTTGATAGGTTCAAAGGTAATAAAATCTGCCTTCAGACTTTATTTTTTAATCTGGATTAATTAGGTTAATTAATGTTCTTCAGGGGTACTGTTAAGTGGATTTTGTTACTTTTGGACAGAGCCATATAAGCTGTTTTCCCATGTCTTTTTACAAAGCTAGGCTAACCAGCTTGTGGCTGTAGCTTTATGTTAGTGTGCAGACAGGAGAGTGATATTGATCTACTAATCTAACCTTCTGCAACTTAAGGTTAAATGGTGATTGTATGGCATTAGCCCAGGATGCAATCAACAAATTAACAACTTAGAAGTTAAATACAGTCAGCAGTTTAGCAAATAAACAACAAAGAACATGTTTCTTATTTGCGAGCTTTGCAGCATGTTACCTTCCCTTTATTTTTCTCTTAAAAAGCGTTGACAGTTTATGCTTTATGGAAAAATAAAGATGAAATGTCTGTCTCAAAAACAGTTCAAAAGACAGTTCATCTTTGCTACACAGTTTTACAGGATGTGAAAAACGAGGCCTGCTGTCAGCTTAGGGTTTCAAGGTTTAACAGCAAAAATGTGACGACAGTTGTGCCGCACTAGACTTGAAATATCTTTTGGTCCTTTTTATGATGTTCCTCCACTCTCCTGTTTCCATGTAAAAATGTTGATAAAGGTGATGAGGAGGCTATTTTTTGTAATGTTTTTATTCTCTTTGTTTATTATCTGTTGATGTACAGAAGTCATTTAAAGGGTCACTGTACTTTTATTAAACTGAAGACATATTATCCTATAGTCTTTTTCATATTAACAAAATAAATGACACTACAGTTCCCATGATGCAATAGCTTACATCAGATCCTCCATGTCTAGAACTGCACCACTGACATTTGTATAACCTTCAAACTCCACATCTCAAGTTCAGATAACACTTTTTGAGTGCCTCTTCAGTTAGCAGGAGTTTTCTTGTATGCATTTGGCACAGCACCACTTGAGTTTTGGAATTTTCAGGGGATCATATGCTGTATAAGTTTAACAAGCAGGAGCTTTATTTTTTCAATAAAATATGAATCCCCGTCACACATTTCAGTGCCTGTGAAGTGAGTCAAGAGAGTCACATTTTGGGAAAGGGATGGAGGGATTCAGACATGGAAAGAGAGAGGATTGGAGGGATCAAGAGTAGGCAAGTAGTGAACGAGTAATAAGCAGTGACTGTTTATGATTAATCAGGAAAGTCGTCCAAGCAGCCAGCTGATTTCCTAACAGACGGTGTTTGTAATGTCTTTGTGAGTGTGAAAGTCAGCTGTTAAAATCCACCAAAGTGTGCCCCTCAATTGTTTCACAAAGGTTATCTAACTCCCAGAATTGGTATACCAGTAATACCGATATATGAAGAGGAGGGATAGAAAAAGAGAGAGAGGAAGAGAGAAAATCTTAATTTTCCTAAGGGGTGCTGACTAATATAAGACTCTTGGATCTGTTCCAACCATCGACTGGATATCTAAGGTTCAAACATGAGTAAGATCACATATCATGGCTAAAAGTAAGATCTCACACACACACACACACACACACACGCACACACACACACACACACACACACACACACACACACACACACACACACACACACACACACACACACACACACACACACACACACACACACACACACACACACACACACACACACACACACACACAGACACAAAGTCCAGATGGTATGCATTTATTTGTGTGTCTCTTTTGTCCTTGTCCATCATTCCTTCACATCTACACATTAATGTACAGTGACTCATATTGCCTCAGTAAGTAGACCCCTGACTCCTACAGATAGTGTTGAAGTGTCCTTTAGCAAGCCACTGATCCCCTCTTACCCCTTTTTCCAAAAGTCTATTTTGTTGCCATTTACAATTAAAGTGTGTCTCTCTTTTTTGCATCCTTAGTGTGTGTGTGTGTGTGTGTGTGTGTGTGTGTGTGTGTGTGTGTGTGTGTGTGTGTGTGTGTGTGTGTGTGTGTGTGTGTCTGAGAATTGTCTTCTTAATTTCTGAAAGTTCTTTTGTCCCCAGAAATGGATGCCAATTATGGCGGAGGACTGTTGGATATGGTGAAGGGAGGAGCCGGCAAGTTCTTCAGCAACTTCAAGGACAACTTGAAGGACACTCTGAAGGACACCTCCACCAAGGTCATGCATCAGGTGGCCACGTAAGTTACCGCTTCATTATACACATGAACTGCACTATGGCTTAGCACTCACTGTTACTTTCTGCCATACAAAGCTTTTGTTTTGGTGTCCCTGTTTGTCTCTACTAATTACACTATGTGATCAAAGAATTGTGTACCTACATTTAAATCTGATGTTTCTATAAAAGTGCCAGATTTTTTCAACTTTATTTACAGTGTAGATTAGCAGGCATTCAATGTATCTGAAACGCTTGTTATTGATATCATATAGTCTGGCATAAAGACTAATCTAGTTTTTTACGAAAGAAACCCCATGTGGGAAGCGATATTATAACATTTGGAGTACTTTATAAAATAATGCAAAACAGTCACACTGCACAGCGGTGGACATTTTAACACATCTTGACTCTTGTCAAAGTAAGAGTAATGATCATTGAATGGTATTCAGAAACCTAGCTCATAAACTTGAACACAGCTGGATATTTGATCACATCTTGACTCCTATTTTGACTAATGAACATTGAATGGTATTCAGAAACGTAGCTCATATTCTTGAATGTTATATATAGTATATATCAAATGTTGTGACTTCTAATGTAGCGTTGTTTCAGCTGTTGATTACATTGTGAAGTAAATCTGGAAATAGCTTCAAAAGTGAAAGAGAGCAGTGTGGATGAGAGGAGGGAAAGAGGGAGGCAGCAGAGTCTGACACGGCTCGGTCGTCCCAGTGTGTTTGTGCACAGGCATCTGCACAGGGCAGCACAAAGGGGCCTCTGTGCTGGCAGAAACACACAGCTCCTCTCTGACTCAGCAAGCTTGACCGTTGTGTCTCCCCTCCTCTGCTGCTAACATCTCAACAAACTCCCACTCTTCTGTCATTCCGTCCCCTGTCGTTTTTCGGCTGTTTCTCACCTCTCATCACATTTCCTTCTCGCCTCTCTTTGCCTTCTCCTCTCCTGGCTGAATTATTCATGGTGGTTCATTGTGCCAAACGGCCAGTGCACTGCTGATACAGAAGGATTCATTTCATTAGGGCCCTGTGTGTGTGTGTGTTTGTGTGCATGTACAGTATGTGTGAGTGGGTGGTTGTGATAATGGGGTGGTGGGAGGGAGGCTACCGTGGCAACTCACTAAAAGCCTCAGAAAGGAAAGGTAGATGGGCAGAGGTAGACTAATGTGTAGTTTAGGGCAGTACACTTTGAATTTCTTTTTTATGATCCCCTTTCTACATGAACTATCCAGCTGTGATCTGACACTGAGAGTTGATCATGTTGTTTACATCATATTTAATACATTTATTTCCAGAATTGAAGGACAGAAAAGGTGACTCTAAAAATACAAGTTGTTTCCAGAGGTAGAGGTAGCACTATATGCTTTATTGCCCTCATAAATAAATCAACACGCTGTGAACTGAGCTACCGGCTGACTATCTAGTAGATCTACAGAGCAGCTTCAAGCATGCTGGGTGGATTATATAGACGTAGTCTCATGATTTTTCCCTGCGCCAATGACAAGTGCTCATTGACTTGCCATTGGTGGCTTCCCTATGTTGCTCCATGAACCAAAGTCAGCAGTTGTTTAGAGAGATATGATAAAGAGATGCAGGATCTAATGATGAATTCCTATGAGGTTGGCAGCACTCTGTAAACAATACTGCTCCATCTGTCTCTTTCTAATGTTATTATGTTCTAATGTCCTTTCTCGCTTATTTTATTTTATTATACTTTAGTCCACCTTTTAAACATTTTAACAATTTAAAACTACAAATGCATCCGTGTAATATGAATGGGGTTGTGTACAGCTCATTGTCTCCCTTTTACTGTCTGCAACTCTACTGTTTTTATTGACTGATTTTTTGGAGCCTGACTATTTATCGTGCATTCAGGATCAGACATGGTACTTGGCATTTTTGGATGTTACTTTTGTCGCTTAATTGTTTTAAAGGTGTGTGTGTGTGTGTGTGTGTGTGTGTGTGTGTGTGTGTGTGTGTGTGTGTGTGTGTGTGTGTGTGTGTGTGTGTGTGTGTGTGTGGACCAGGAAGAGGCACCTACGTCTGACAACCACAATGTGTTAAACCAATGTATCCTTTGTTGACAGGATTTTGTCACTTTACCCTCATGGATGTAATTACAGGTGTGCTTTTCCAATAAAAGATTAAGGACAATTGAATTATAGTGATTACAAACAAAGTGAGATACCACCAACAAGAAAGGTATATCAAAGGTAGAATGTAAAAGTGTTCAAAAGAGAGATTGACTTTATTTAAATTATTTGCATTATTGATATTGCCAGTTATAATACACATACTGTAGAGTCAACATCAGTGAAGGTAAGAAGAGTCAGACACATAACACATGCTTAAAACGTGTACATTGGTCTCAGACAGTATCGTGGCTACCTTGATTAACAGAAAGGAGAAGATTCCCCTTCGTCAGCTTTGCCCTTCTTTCCAGTTGTGTCCTTCCTGACTATTTCATTTCCTGCACCACACCTTGCAGTACATGTTAATTGGCTGCAGCTCTAACTTCATGAGATCAGTGAGGCTGCTCATTTGCATACTTCGTGACTATTGGCCATCACCTTTTAAACCTACCTGACACTTGACCTAATCTCTCCTTTAATAGCCAACAAGCTATTTCCGGAGATAAGTAGGTAAAACTGCAGATTTGTGGAATATATTTCTAACAACATAAAACAAGGAAATTAAGGCAGTTTCTACAAATACTCTTCTTTGTATTTTGTAACATCAATTTAGGGTTAGGAAAGGTTATCTGTGTACTGGCCTTAATATGAGTATACAGTCCAGATATTCACCTTTAATGTCAATATGTGAAACTTGCAGGCTGCATTTTAACTGAACTGTGGTCAAATGACTTTAATATGGAGGAATTACTGACTAAACAGCTCTGATGGCTCATTTTGTTATATTAGCTGCTGTCTTTAAGTAGCAGTGCATTACATAACCAGGTCTAGGAATGCATCAGTGCCATATGGCACTCCTCCATGACCACACAGAGGTCGTTGGCCCTGATCAGCCCTGCTAAGGGGATTTTCACAGTAGGCAACAAGTCAACTCAATTTGATTCACATTAGCCTGGTTTTGCATGATAATTGCAGGAAAGCAGGAAGCTGAGCTATGTGTTACTGCTGGGTACAAATATTTTTGAGAAAGAATATAAAAATGTACTTATATTACAAAAAATAAGACAATTTTCCTGCAGTCATTCACTTCCATGGCGCAGCAGCAGTGGATTAGTTATGTCTGCACTGCAGCTGCTCTCAGAGTTTCAAAGAAAACTCCATATGGAACAGCTAAATTTAGCTATAAAAGACAATGGTTCTCAGTTGAGGAATTCACATATGGTACCACTTTGATCCTGGTCATTGCAGCCTAATGTGGGGAAGCATCTGCTCTGAAGCATGCTGAGGAGAATAACTTGTGTATACATGACATGTAGCCTGATGCAGAGGTGGATTGACCTTTTACATGCTCGGCATGCATTGATTTCCTCTGTTTGATAAGATATGTTTCAAGGATAGAGCATCCTTTGACTAAATGCCTAAAATGTGTGAAAACCACCAACAAACGTGCCTGCTGTTTAATAGTTTACCTGCAATAAATGTGTGAGTTGATATTTTGTCATGTCAAGTGCATGGACAAACATTCAAAATAATCTTTAAATATGTGTTTCTTTGTTGCAGGTACACAAAAGGGGAGCTAGACATTGCCTACATCACATCAAGGATCATAGGTAAACATATTTGGTTTTACGAAATAGATTTTTTTGTGTGCGTTTGGATAATCTCTTCACAAGAAATAATAAATCAGAGTCCAAAACTCTCAATTAAAACAATTTCACTTTAAAGACATTGAAATGTTACAATTTGAAGTAATTACTAGGAGAGAAAAAAACTCCCACGACTAAATGATCAAGAATCTGGTACATAGACGTCTTACGTTTTTTTAAATATTTTAATCAGCAAATATTTTTTTAGGACTATGTTCAACCCAAAAACTTTCATTTGATTTATATTCAAACATTTCTAAATGCTAATTAGTGCATGGACATACATGGCTTAAACTTGATTGGCCATTTCCAAATTCTCAGAGTTAAAAGCTTAGGTTCTTAAAAATGTATAATGTAGAAATGCTTTATAGATGATAAGCTAGACATGTGTCATGTGACCCTGTATTAACCTACACATAAGCATAAACACATTCACAGAAATGTCCCTTATTTCGAATACTCACTTGCTTCTAGTTCCACATGCGTTTGAGTATGAAGTAGCAGTGTGTCCTTTGGAAAGCATAGTCAGCTGGACAATTGTCCCCTGAGGGCTTCTATCCCACAACGCTTTGTGTGTGGCCACGGATAGTCGTGTGTCAATGTAGGTCCACTCTCCACATTTCAATTTACTTATTGTAGAATAACTGTAGAGAAGAATTGAAGATGGACATTGAGTGTGAGGCTATTATCTACATCAGGGGTGCCCAATACGTCGATCGCAAAGGTAGTGTGGGTAGATCGCATGGCATTGAAAAAAAAAAAAAATGTAAATAAAAAAACTAAAAATAAAGGTTAGCCTATCATCCATCTTTACTGTGGCATTTGCCACTTGATTAACGTACAGGTAAGCCAGTCTGAGATCTCATATTTTCTAACACACAGTTCACCACGCATGCGCGGTCAACTGCGCCAGCTGCAAATCACCGGTGAGCTGATTACCTAGTTAGCCTTCCAATTTATACAATTATACTAAAGAAAGGGTATCACCTCCTCATCTGAAGCGCAAATGCGGCACAATAAGTGTAAGCGCGCCACAGTTTCTCGGGTCAGCCCTGTAGGTAGATCACTTTGACTTGGTCATTTTAAAAGTAGCTCCCAAGCTGAAAAGGTGTGGGCACCCCTGATCTACATTGTGTATATAATCATCTGCAACAGTGCATTAAAACCTGTTAAGCCCCAAAACGCAACATCTTGCAAGAAACAGCGTCTGAGGGCTTCTTAACATTTAACAAACTATGAATGTGTCATATCCACTTAATGGGAAGAAACTGAGCTAACTGACGTTATGAACCATTTTTGTTAAACGAAACACAAGTCTAACGCAGAGCCTCTGAATTAGCCCTGAGCGAAAAAATGCTAACCCCTAGATTCCACCGGGTCCGTCTGTGTCGTGTTACGGCCGCACCGTGGTTTTGGTCCAGCCTCCTCCGGCGTCATACCCTACCGGGTGCGTTTCAGAAGCATTTCAGAAGCGGTGCGTCTTGCCTGCCGGCTCGCAGTTTTTGTTGATTTGGGCATATTTCCTGGACAGGCTACTTTGTACAGACAAAGTTAATAATAATTGTAATATTCCAGTTATAAACGACATGAATCAAAGATTCACTCTCTGAAGAACCAGCACCTTACCGTGGTAGAGAGGTTTGTGTGCCCTGATGAACCTGGGGGCTGTGTTGTCTGGAACCTTGTGTTCCTGGTAGGGTTTCCCATGGCAAATTGGTCTCAGGCAAGGGGCCAGACTAAGATTGGTTCAAAAGACCTCATGAAAGACGACACAAGAAGTGAGGATACCCGGCCCGGAGGAAGCCCGGGGTCCCCTTCTGGAGTCAGGCCCAGAAGGAGGACTCGTCGGCGAGCGTCTGATGGCCGGGCTTGCCACGGAGCCCAGCCGGGCCCAGCCCGAAAAGGCAACGTGGGCAACACCTCCGCTTCTCCGTCCCGCGGGCCCACCACCTACGGGAAACATCGATGGGGTCGGGTGCGCTGCCAGAAGGGTGGCAGTGAAAGCGGAGGGTCTCGACGGACCAGACCCGGGCGACAGAAGCTGGCTTTGGGGACGTGGAACGTCACCTCTCTGGGGGGGAAGGAGCCGGAGCTTGTGCGGGAGGTGGAGCGTTACCAGTTGGATCTGGTTGGGCTTACCTCTACGCACAGCGTCGGCTCTGGAACCTTACTTCTGGATAGGGGTTGGACTCTATTCTTCTCCGGAGTTGCTCAAGGTGTGAGGCGCCGGGCGGGTGTGGGGATACTCACAAGTCCCCGGTTAGGTGCTTCGTTGTTGGAGTTTACCCCAGTGGACGAGAGGGTCGTCTCCCTACGCCTGCGGGTTATGGGGGGGAAAACTCTGACTGTTGTGTGTGCTTATGCACCCAACAGCAGTTCAGAGTATACGGCCTTCTTGGAGACCCTGGAAAGAGTCCTGTATGGGGCTCCTGAAGGGGACTCTTTAATCTTGCTGGGAGACTTCAACGCACATGTGGGCAATGATGGAGACACTTGGAGGGGCGTGATTGGGAGGAACGGCCCCCCTGATCTGAACCGGAGTGGTGGTTTGTTACTGGACTTCTGTGCTAGTCATGGATTGGCCATAACAAACACCATGTTCGAACATAAGGATGCTCATAAGTGAACGTGGTACCAGAGCACCCTAGGCAGAAGGTCCATGATCGATTTCGTTATCGTATCATCGGACCTGAGGCCGTATGTTTTGGACACTCGGGTAAAGAGAGGGGCGGAGTTGTCAACTGATCACCATCTGGTGGTGAGTTGGGTCGAGTGGCGGGGGAAGCCTCTGGATAGACCTGGTAAGCCCAAACGTGTAGTTCGGGTGAACTGGGAACGTCTGGAGGAGGCCCAAGTTCAGGAGGCCTTCAACTCACACCTCCGGCGGAGCTTTTCGGGCATTCCTGTGGAGGTTGGGGACATTGAACCAGAGTGGTCGGTGTTCAAAGCCTCTATTGCCGAAGCCGCGGCGGGGAGCTGTGGTCTCAAGGTCCTAGGTGCCTCAAGGGGCGGTAACCCTCGAACCTCCTGGTGGACACCGGTGGTCAGGGAAGCCGTCCGACTGAAGAAGGAGGCCTTCAGGGATTTGTTATCCCGGGGGACTCCCGAGGCAGTTGCAAGGTACCGACAGGCCCGAAGGGCAGCAGCCTCATCCGTGGCCGAGGCAAAGCAGCGGGTGTGGGAGAAGTTCGGAGAAGACATGGAGAAGGACTTTCGGGCGGCACCAAAGTTGTTCTGGAAAACTGTCCGACACCTCAGGAGGGGGAAGCAGGGAACCATCCAAGCTGTGTACAGTAAGGATGGGACGTTGTTGACCTCAACTGATGGAGTGTTAGGGCGTTGGAAGGAACACTTTGAGGAACTCCTGAACCCGACAACTCCGCCCTCTATGTTAGAGGCAGAGCTGGAGTATGACGGGGGATCAACACCAATCTCCCGGGGGGAGGTCACTGAGGTCGTCAAACAACTCCACAGTGGCAAAGCCCCGGGGGTGGATGAGATCCGCCCGGAAATACTGAAGGCTCTGGGTGTTGAGGGACTGTCATGGTTGACACGTCTCATCAACGTTGCGTGGAAGTCGGAAACAGTACCGAAGGAGTGGCAGACCGGGGTGGTGGTTCCCCTTTTTAAAAAGGGGGATCAGAGGGTGTGTGCCAATTACAGAGGCATCACACTACTCAGCCTCCCCGGGAAAGTTTACTCTAAGGTACTCGAAAGGAGGGTCAGGCCGATTGTCGAACCTCAGATTGAGGAGGAACAATGCGGATTCCGTCCTGGTCGTGGAACGACGGATCAGCTTTTTACTCTCGCAAGGATCCTGGAGGGGGCCTGGGAGTACGCTTATCCGGTCTACATGTGTTTTGTAGACTTGGAGAAGGCGTATGACCAAGTTCCCAGGGAGTTACTGTGGGAGGTGCTGCGGGAGTATGGGGTCTCTACTCAGGGCCATCCAATCTCTGTACTCCCAAAGCGAGAGCTGTGTCCGGGTACTCGGCAGTAAGTCGGACCCATTTCCGGTGAGGGTTGGCCTCCGCCAGGGCTGCGCTTTGTCACCAATCCTGTTTGTAATATACATGGATCGGATTTCGAGGCGTAGTCATGGGGGAGGGGGTCTGCAATTCGGTGGACTAAGGATTGCACCAATGCTTTTTGCAGATGATGTGGTTCTAATGGCTTCATCGGTCTGCGACCTTCAGCACTCACTGGATCGGTTCGCAACCGAGTGTGAAGCGGCTGGGATGAGGATCAGCACCTCCAAATCTGAGGCCATGGTTCTCAGCAGGAAACCGATGGACTGTCCACTCCAAGTAGGGAATGAGTCCTTACCCCAAGTGAAGGAGTTCAAGTATCTCGGGGTCTTGTTCTCGAGTGAGGGAACAATGGAGCGTGAGATGGGCCGGAGAATCGGAGCAGCGGGAGCGGTACTGCAGCCGCTTTACCGCACCGTTGTGACGAAAAGGGAGCTGAGCCAGAAGGCAAAGCTCTCTGTCTTCCGGGCCATTTTCGTTCCTACCCTCACCTATGGTCATGAAGGATGGGTCATGACCGAAAGAACGAGATCGCGGATACAAGCGGCCGAGATGGGTTTTCTCCGCAGGGTGGCTGGTGTCTCCCTTAGGGATAAGGTGAGAAGTTCGATCATCAGGGAGGGACTCGGAGTTGAGCCGCTCCTCCTTCGCGTCGAAAGGAGCCAGTTGAGGTGGTTCGGGCACCTAGTTAGGATGCCACCTGGGCGCCTCCCTAGGGAGGTGTTTCCAGGCACGTCCAGCTGGGAAGAGACCAAGGGGTAGACCTAGGACCAGGTGGAGGGATTATATCTCTTCGCTGGCCTGGGAGCGCCTTGGGATCCCCCAGTCAGAGCTGGTTGATGTCGCCAGGGAAAAGAAAGTTTGGGGCTCTCTGCTGGAACTGCTACCCCCGCGACCCGACCACGGATAAGCGGGAGAAGATGGATGGATGGATGGATGGATGAATCAAAGATGTGTTGCTGTATTTTAGTGGTAAAAAAATGCATTCATCATCATAATTATTCTATATATGTAATTTACACAGTGCCTGTAAACCGGAGGAGAACGCTGGCATTTCTCCTCCTACTTGAAAGACTATGGAGGGATAGGGTCTGCAAAATTAGTTTGTGTGTGTGTGTATATATATATATATATATATATATATATGCTATATATGCTCTAAACGTTCTACTTCCTGCCTGCCCGACATTACGTTACGGCTGCGTCGCGTAAAAAATAGGATTCATCCTAATTTTAGAGGAGCCCTGCGCCGAGATGCTTCTGGGACGCTTCTGAGCCGTAACGCGCTGCGTGTGGTGGAATAGCACCCATTGACTAGAGTGGCTGCCATCGCTGCGGACGCCGCGGCGCAGCCGTAACGTGGCCGTAACACGACGCAGACGGACCCGGTGGAATCTAGGGGTAACACACTTAGCACAGACTACTCACCGTAGAAATACTTTATTACTTATCGGATCTGCACAAACAAGATATCAGCTAGCAAGCTGAGATTCCACAGATTCCAGAAATATAAGTATCATCACTGTGCAATCAAAACTCAGACTTGGACTCGGCAAACCCAGACATCACACAACGTAACTTTGCCGAGCAAAAACAGGATTAGTCTTACCTTTGCTGTTGTTCTGATCAAAAGTTGTGTTCAATGGCATTAAAACGATAAAAACGCTGCTGAAGGTTAATCAAATGGTTAATCCAATGTGTCTGTGTCACTTTGAAATGATTACTGATAATCCATCTTCCTATTTATGGCAATTTCAGTTTTCAGAGTGTAACGTAGCTTTCGGTTTGGGCAAACTGCGTGCGCATCACTCTCACTCCTCATGGTGTACTTTTATGTGGACTTAGGATCTCCCCCTCGATTCTATTGGCTCTAACGGTTAAAAAGAGGTGTCAATCATTAAAATCGACCAATGGGTTCCAGAGAAATGGCAAATACACCCAAATGACCCCAGAGGTGTTTTTTTTTTGTGCTAAACCTCTCTAAAAAGGTCAAATGTCACTTGTTTTGCATCAATCTTGATACAGGGTACTTATTATATGTTATAGTTTGGATTCCTAAAGTTTTTAGTCTACTATCCCTTCATTCAAGGGTGGTTTTCATTAATGTTTTCTTTTTGGACGTACACTATAATTTACATTGTTTTACTATGTTCAATCTGAATTTACTTTAAAATAAAAAAATTCTATATTGATTCTGACTTTTCTACATCCAACTCACAGGTTTATCATTGCTTTGAGAACAAATATTATTAATGTACCCCTTTTAGAAGTGAAGTTATAGTAATTTGTTCTGGGAATGTCATTTTCGAGCCTGAGACCTAAAAAACAGGCTTGGGGCTTAACAGGTTAAACTCTTAATTTTTCTACTTCTTATTTTCAGTGATGACCTACCCAGCAGAGTCAGTGCAGATTGGCTACCAGAACCACGTAGAGGACATTCGCTCCTTCCTCGACAGTCGCCATGCCGACCATTACACTGTCTTCAATCTGTCACAGCGTAACTACCGCGGTGCCAAATTCTCCAACAGGGTGAGTTTGATTCTGCCTCATGAAGCCATTACAGATTTATTTATTTTTGATATAAATGTAGTTATTGGTAGGTGCATCTTTTTTTCTTCAGATTATTATAACACTAGAGTGAGATATGAGAAGTTTGACTTCATTTATTTTCCAAAATGTCATGCAACTATCATATTGTCCTAAACATGATATATTCCTTTACTTTACTGACACCTGGCAGAGCATGTGAGCGTAGCAGCCTGAACCAAAAATGATCCCCACTCTACCTCCCTCACATGCTGGTAAAACATTTGTGATGGGTTCAATTTGGTTATCTTCTACACAAATACATTGTTGCATTTGCTATAGCTCTGTTAAATGGGCTGGATGCTACTCTACTACTGTAACACAGGAGCAACATGCAAATAAGATCACAGTCTTCAAAAATGTCTGTCAAACTCCCCGCAAAAAAAATCTAAAATGAGGAGGAGTGGTATCTTTTGAAAACAAGTGGAATAGTTCCCAGTGAATATCAAATAGTGCTTACATCACTTAACTCACCTATCATGCTTTGAGGATTATTACAATATTCACAATGAACAAAATACAAATTACAATATATACATTTATTTTAATAATAATATTGTTTTTGAAATGTTCAGTCCAAATGTAACACAGCAGCAATTCAACATGCATCATTTACATTGTTAACTCAGCCTGTCCTCCTACAAAAAACGACCATATAGGTCGATTGTTCAGCAGCTAAATACGACCCAGAGTCACGTTTGAAAGTGTAGCACCTCTAGTGGTCGTGTAAGAAACAACATGCTCCTGTCGATTGCAAACGCTCCGGAGGGTCGTTTATTCACAAATTACCCTCTGGAAAATCCTAAATTGTGGAATAGTTTGGCCATTAAAATGCTTTTTTATTAGATTTCTAGCAAGAAGTGTATATTGTACTTTTATAATCTACGTCCAGTGGATGTGTAGGATCTACAGTTTGATAGATATACGAAGATAATTTGAGGTCTCGCCAGGAGAACGTGTACTGTATATGATGCAGCTTCCATGTAAAGTTAGCATGGGTGAAAACTATAGGTTACTTACGTAACCCCAGTTCTCAGAGTAACATGAAGTGAGATGTCTCACTATGGGATGCGCCTCATCGCGGAGCAAACAGAAGCATCAATCTCATTACGCCAATCCTGATTGGCTGGAGATCTTGACGTCAGCGTCAGGGAAATCACCCCCTATAAGTAGCTTGCGCCACAACGCATGCGCCATTCAAAATAAGCACCTCTTCTCGCTTCACCATAGCAAGGAGGGCCGTCTGGTGAGACATCTCACTTCATGTTACTCTGAGAACTGGGGTTACGTAAGTAACCTATAGTTCTCATTCATAACACTCCGTTCGATGTCTCACTATGGGAAATTGTAGATCCCGTATTGCCAGACGAGCTTATCTCGAAAATCACCAAACCAACCAGAACTTAACAGGTAGAGCTCTGACTCAACCAGGTGCCCAGCACTGCTTGAGTCACACTGGGAGCAGAACGTCCAGCCTGTTAGGAGGCAGACAAAAGTGAGCGGCGAGGACCAGCTCGCCGCTGCACCAATGTCCTTGATGGGAGACATCCTGGACAGAGTCCAGAATGCAGCCAGACTCTGAGTCGAAAGAGCTCGCGGACCCGAGGGTGCCTGCGAACTCTGACTCGTATGAGCCCCAAAGCAATGGCTTCCACAGACCAGTGGGAGAGCCGTTGCTTAGTAACAGGCTTGCCCTTATAAGGGTTAGCCCAGGACACAAGGGGTTGGTCATTATGACAAAGCACCCTTGATCTGTCCCTGTACGTGCGTGAAGCACGGGCTGGACACGGCAAATCTGGCCGTTGTTCCCCGGAGGAATACAGTGGCGGGGAGGATGCCTTAATGTCAAATGTGGTACCCGAACCGACCGCCTTAAGATAAAGGCAGGGTCAGGCTTCAACCACACTCTGTTTGCCCTGGGGCAAACTGAGTGCATGAAAACTGTACAGATAGTGCATGAGTGCCACTGGCTCGCTTGGCAGCTGCCAGGGTCAGCGTCATGTCACACTGTATTTAGATTGTACCACTCACGGGCCAGGCCCATAGAGCCAAGCGCTCTGGGTGTGGGTGAAAGATCGCCCCCCCCGCTTGGGACAGTATGTCCCTGCGTAGTGGGAGCTGCCATGGCTGCCCGCACAGCAGCTGATATATCTCCGCTAGCCAGTACATAGCTGGTCAGTGCGGAGCTATCAGGATAAGTGTGTGGCGTTGCTCTCTCACTCTGGCCAGAGTTGGGGGTATCAGAGCCAGGGGTGGGAACGCGTACAGAAGGCCCGGGGGCCAATTGTGCGCGAGTGCATCCACGCCTAACGGTGCATTTAGATCGCGCATCGAAAAGAACAGCTGACACTGAGCGTTGTCTTTCGATGCAAACAGATCCACCGCGGCTCTGCCGTAACGCACCCACAGCTGGCTCACAATCTTTGGATGTAGAGTCCAGTCTGCATAAAGTGGTATACCTCTGGACAGTAGATCTGCCCCGAGGTTCCTCACTCCCGGTACGTGCGTCGCTCTCAGAGAGAGGAGACGCCTACCGCTCCATAGGATAAGTTTGCGCGCCAGTGTGTGTAACTGGAGAGAAAGCAAACCCCCTTGGCGGTTAATATACAATATTGTGGTCGTATTGTCTGTCCTCACAAGGGCGCGATGTCCCCTGAGGAAAGGCAGAAAGCGTTTTAGGGTGAGAAACACCGCTAAAAGCTCCAGGTAATTTATGTGCGCCCGCTGGAGGTCTCTGCTCCAGAGACCCCTCACCGGGCGACCTTCATAAATACCTCCCCAACCTGTCAGACATGCGTCCGTGGTGACCACTTTCCGTGAAAGGACAGCACCCATAGGCACACCTCGTACTAGAAAAGTCGGGTGCAGCCAGTGGCGCAGTGCCATTACGCATTTCACAGTAACCATCACTCTCTCGCCATGGCGCGCGGGGTTTAGTTTTAGGGCGGCCACCCAGCGCTGAAACTCCCTCATGTGTAAGCGTCCCAGTCGTACGACCAGGATGGCTGACGCCATGAGCCCCAGCAATCGCAGGCATGATCTGAAGAGAACATGTTTGCGCAGCCGGAAAAGAGCGAGACAAGCTCTGAAAGCTTTCACTCTATCCGCTGACAAGCGAGCTGAAAAGGGCACCGAGTTCAGGTGTAAACCCAGGAAGAGTATAGTCTGCGCGGGGCACAACATGCTCTTCTCTGTGTTTATTATGAAACCCAGGTTGAGCAGGTGCTTTACGAGGACATTTGTCTGCGTAACAGCCTCCTGCTCCGACTGTGCGAGAAGCAGCCAGTCGTCCAGGTAGGTCGCCAGGCGAATACCCTGTTGTCTTAACGGGGCTATCTCAGATATTTCCTGTGTGGGTAATATACTGGGATGTGAAAATACGCATCTTTCAGGTCGACTGATGTGAACCAGTCGTCTTGTCGCACGAGCCCCAGCAGAGATGTGTGAGTGAGCATTCTGAACTTATATCTTCTTAGATATTTGTTCAGAGCCCTCAAATCAAGTATTGGCCGAATTCCGTTCCCTCCCCGTTTGGGAACGAGGAAGTACTTGGAATAGAAGCCGCCCTGACTCTGCTCGGCGGGTACAATAGATATAGCCCTCTTTTCTAGGAGAGAGAGAATCTCTTTCTCCAGAATATGGGCTGACTCTCCTCGGGCCTGCGAATGCAGAATGCCCGAGAAGCGAGGGGGGGTGACAGCGAATTGGAGTCTGTAGCCCCGTGTTACTGTCTTGAAAACCCAAGCAGATGATGTGAGCATCTTCCACTGCATGCTCCTTAGAGCCAGTGGAGATGTCACATCTCTTCCCCTCTGAGTCTCTATTTGTTGTGTTATGGGGCCCTCTAGTGTCTGAACACAGTGGTGCCCCCTTTCGACAATCCCCACCGACACTGCGCATGCGCATGACGGTGGTGCCTTCACAACCCCAGCCGGCACTGCGCATGCGCGTGGCGGTGGTGCTTTTAAAACCCCAGCCGGCACTGCGCATGCGCGTGACGGTGGTGCCTTCACAGACCCGCCTGTAATCCGCCTTTTGAGAGATGCCGAAGCTGCTCTCAGAAGGGGAACAGTTGACGGGCTGTTTATTGGTTTTATTGTTTTTCTTATCATTTTTTTTTTTTGAGCTGCGCCCTCGGCCTGAAGCCTGGATGCGTCAGCGGCAAATGTTTAATGACAGAGGAACAAACAGATTTGTGACATGTGTTTTTGCGGACTTGAGGATGGTGTTGAGGCATCTCTCGAGGCGGCGGGAACACATTTAGAGCTGGGGAACCGTGGACTTCCAGCTCTGTCACGGAGGGGAGAAGGAGGGGCTGTCACGCCGCTCGCTTCTTCTTCCTCGCCTGCTGGCCGAAATTCTGGGTTGGCTGCGCCTGAGCTGCAGCCGGAACCGGAGATTTTCTGGGCCAGCTCGTCCTCGTCTCCAGCCTGGGCTGGGGACTCGGGGCGGGCTGCGACCTCTGCGTTCTCGGTGTTTTAAACCGAGCAGGGTTCAAGGCAGCTTGGGCGAAGGACTGCTGCTGCGAAGGACTGCTGCTGCGAAGGACTGCTGCTGCGAAGGCAGCGGCTGGACCCTTCAAGGGAGGCAGAGGTGCAGTGCCTCGTCCTCCCTCTTTTTCAACTCACACCTCTTTTGCATGGAAGCAAGAGCGGAGAAGAAAATTCCCTCGGGAACGATGGGCATATCCAGCACATCCTCCTTTTCCCGGTCTGGGAGGTTGGTGAGGTTGAGCCATCTCGCTCTTTCCTGCACCACCATGATCCCCATTGCCTTACCTGTGGCCTGGACGGCGCAGCGTTGGACACGGAGACAGATGTCTGTGACCGCTGCCATCTCGTCCAGAGTGGCTGCCCCCGGGTTACCCGACAGGTCCTCGCAGAGCTCCGCTTGGTAAGCGGTTAGCAGCGAGGCCACATTCAGGGCCCTGGCGGACAACGCTGCGGCTTTGTAGGACCGTTCAGTCATTGTCGACTGAAATCGGTCCGACTTTGCCGGCAGCGTGGGGTTCCTGCTTGGTGACGGGCCCATCCTCGGTAGGAGGTGGGCTGCTACCAGCGGTTCCATGGGCGGTATGCGGAGCAGGCCGAGCTTCTCCATTCCGTCACAGTCTAGGGAGGAGGCACCCTGGATTGGGACCTTGTTGCTGAAGGGCCGGTCTCTCCACGAGACCGACACCTCATCCAACATCTCCGGGAAGACCGGAAGGAGTTGCCTCTTTGTCCGCGCTGCTTGGGGAAAATGTTTCCCTTCGTAGCGGGACCTGGAGGTCTCCTTGGCCATTTCAGGCCACGGGATGTCGAGTCTGGCCGCAGCGCGTTTGCACACGGCCTGCAGTTCCATACTCAGACAGGGCGAAGCTGGTGTGCTATCGTCTGGGAGAGCAGCCCTCGCTCCAGGCTTTGCAGCCTGAGCCGATGACATGAAGATGTCCTCTTCATGTTCATCCGACTCGGACAGGAGGAACACCGAGGCGTCCTCTTCGTCCTCGTCGTAGTGAAGCTCGAGGACATCCTCCGCGGGTGAGACCATGGTGAGGTCTAACCGGGAGCCCCAGCTCGGTAAAGCGTGGGGTCCCGTTCCCGCGTGTCTTGCCGCCACCGGGTCCCGGCCTGCCAGGGCGCGGGAATCCGGTTCTGCGGCCATCGCAGATACTGAGCCCCAGACCGACATGGAGAGGGGTTCACTCTCTGTGGCAGATGTCCCTGCGTCTTGACTGCCGGCCGGCAGGTCAGAGGACATGGGGGGTTCCTGCTCCGACAGGCTAGCTTGGCGTGCTAGCCGTCGGCGGAGGCTCTTTACGGTGAAGCGGACACAATGTCCGCACGAGCCGGGGTTGTCGATAGCGCCTCGGGCGTGTTCCAGCCCGAGGCAGGACGAGCAGACCTGGTGTGTGTCTGTGCCCGAGATCTTCAACCCGCAGCCGCAGAGTCGAGCCACCGAGTCCCTGACTCCTCTGGTGTGAGGGAGAGGGGCGTCCATCTTGTTCGCCTCGTGGCGTGGAGAGGACCCGCTCTCAACAGGTAGGTTGGGAGAAAAAGAGGTAACCACCCTGTCCTTAATCCGGAGAAAAGGACGGTGTGGGTCTTTTATTCCCGGAAAATACTGACTGGTGTGGCAGTATGCTCTTTTTAATCCTTTCCTCCTCCGTGGGGAAGAGAAAAGAAAATACTTCCTCGCTACCGTGGTGTCGGTAGTGAGGGAGCAAGCTAACGCTAGCTTGAAAAAGTCAGACCTAGCTTACTTTCCGGGGAAAGAGAGCGGCGAGGTCGATTTCAACAATAACTAGCGTTAGTAATTACCGTCTTCCTGCGAAGCAGAAGGAGTAGCCGGCAAGCGCCCGTCGACCGAAATGGATATTTGGGTTCAGTCTGTGGACCGTGAAGCTTGTCCGGCTACCATAGAGATGTGCTCTGAAGCGAGAAGAGGTGTTTGAATGGCGCATGCGTTGTGGCGCAAGCTACTTATAGGGGGTGATTTCCCTGACGCTGACGTCAAGATCTCCAGCCAATCAGGATTGGCGTAATGAGATTGATGCTTCTGTTTGCTCCGCGATGAGGCGCATCCCATAGTGAGACATCGAACAGAGTGTTATGAATGAGAACAGTATTTCCGGTCTCGAAGTTTTCATAATAAAACCGGAAGTATTCCCCACACTGTCAAATGATCTCCATTACTCATCCACTTAAAAACATCAGTTTATCCTTGTTAATTACACAATATTGATTGGTTTAAATTGTGTACAATGCTTTTGTGTTTTTAACCTTCGATTCGGAGAAACAAATAGTTTTTTCGGAGTTTAGACACTACAGAGTTTCCGAAGACACTACACTACCCAGAATCCCCAGCTATCGTTTGGGACTACAACATCCGCCTTGCTTTACAAACCCCGTGATTAGCTCTCAAGCTCTGTGATTGGATGTTGGAGTGCGACAAGGTTACGCCGAATGTCAAACAGCTCTTTGAAATGGAATGGAACCACGCCAGACTATCCAAAACTGGACTTGGACGGGTCCAGCCCAGCCCTCCCCCACAGAATTACACATGCTGGCTATTGTGTGTTTCGCAATATGTTCTATGGCACGTCTCTACTGGGAATTGTAGTTTTATAAGACGTTTTCGTATTTCCCACAATTAGAAGTTGCCAGTATTAAACTCTATATATCCCTGGAGGTTTAGGGGATACGAAACACATTGGTGTTATCAAATTTAAAACATATAATTAATACATGGGTGAAAATTGCTTGTGCCCATAATGGGCAGCATTAATATACCCACATGACAGCTAAGGTCAGAAGAGCTTTATTTAACAGCTGGTCTTATGTCTGTGACCCCTCCTGTTGTTAATTGATAATCCTGAAACATGCACTTGTCAAGGTTCAGATGCACATTTAGCAAATATGGCAGTAGCCATCGATCATCTTAAGATAAGATACTTTATTGATCCCAATTTGGGAAATGTTTTTGTTACAGCAGCATGTACTACTTTGTTCTACTCCACTACAATTCAGAGGTCAACCTGGTATTTTTACTCTACTACATTTATTTTTGTTACTTTGCAGATTCTGATTAATGATGTGAAATATAAACAACCCTTAAATCAGACTTTCGTTACACCTGAGTAAAATTCAGCCTTATCAGTTTGTCTGTTTTGCACATCCACCTGTTAATATCTTTGGACGTCCTGCACTAAACTGTTTTATTGTAGAGATCACTACAGTATCTTCTTGATATTTTCTATTCTATATTTCTATCATTGACCCCTATTTTGTATGTAGGCTACTCTTAATATTTAAATGTTTTCATAAAAATTAAACTTATTCAATAACGTGCTTTAACCACTAGGAGGTACGGTTTAGACCAGTGGTCTAGTTAATAAAACATAATAATATCAAACATAATATGACTATTCACTTTATTGTGAAATTAAAACAGAACGGTAAAGGAAAATACAGTTTCAGTCTCTCAATGTGAAGCTTATGCATTGTACCATAAACTTGTATAGACCTGTAACAGTCAACTGCATGAGGAGTTGGAAAGGTAGTTCAGAAAATCAGTAATATCTTTAAAAACTACAAAAAAATCCCTTTCTATCAGCTGTGCACCGTTATGGTGTAAATACAGACTATCTACTTATTGGATCAAATATAAAAGTCAGCCGAATTAGTGTTGATACTGCAAGGAGACGTATTGTGTGAAAAGAAATGGAAGATGTTGTTTAATTGTTGATATTTTATGGTCCACGTCACGTATTCAGTTTTGGCGGCATCTCTTCCAGTTTGTCAAAAGGTCTTCTGATCAGGGCTCTATAAATACATATCTACGGCAGATATGTAATATTTAATGCAGCCGAACCGTGTATTACAATGCCGTTATGTGAGGACTTTCAAAGAGAAAAGCAAGAACACTCGGAATAAAGTTTTTTTTAAATTTTTTTTTTTATGTTTTCCGATTTCATATCACATAAACACCATATCCCAACGTGCATTGCGGCGTGATTTTAGCCTATCAAAACCTCTGAAAAAAGAAATGTGTCTCTCAGAATCGAAAGAGAAAACCCTATGGGAAAAACACAAAAGCATTGTACACAATTTAAACCAATTAATGTCGTATAATTAACTAGGATAAACTGATGTTTTTTAGTGTATGAGTACTGCAGATATCACTGTTAAATCATTTGATCATTATGAAAACGTCGAGACCGGAAATACTGTTTTCAACCCGTAACTTTACATGGAAGCTTGCCGCATATACACGTTCTCCTGACGAAACCTCAAATCATCTTCGTAATATCTATCAAACTATAGATCCTACATAACGACTGGACGTGGATTCTAAAAGTACAATATATACTTCTCGCTAGAAATCTAATCATAAAGCGTTTTAATGGCCAAACTATCCTACAATTTAGGATTTTACAGAGAGGGTTATTTGTGAATAAACGACCATCTGTAACGTTTGCATTCAACGGGAGCACTAGAGGCCGACAACTTTAAAACGTAATTATAGGTCGTATTAAGCGCTTGAACAAACGACATATTTGGTCGTAATAAGGGCTTAAACAATCGACCCATTTGGTCGCATGAGTTGGAGGACTTGTTGTGTTAACTTCAGGAATAACTACTTGTATTTGGATAAATATTTATTTTATTGGTAACTACTAAAAGTGTTCCAGCTACTGTAAATCTCCATTTACAAAGCAAGATTTGAATCTGAATGCTCTATTTCTATTATTCTATCCCATCTTATGGTTATGATGACTAACCTCAGCATAGGGTCTTTGGTTTGTGTCATTTAGCATTTAGCACAGATTGTAGGAGTCAAATATCTATAGATTGCCACTGCCACCCTCTGACAGAAAACATCCAAAAAAGCTGAAAAGTCAATCTGTGGCGTTAACACGGTGAATATGGCCCCCTGTCTGGTCGCTGTATCTCTCACATATCTTCCTATTTCTTTACCTTACTCATTCCCTCTTTCTCCCTGCCTTCATACAGTATGCTTGTTTACATTTGCCTCCTCTGTTTCCGTGTCACTGCCTGTTTCCATCATCCCCCTATCTTATATTTTGCTCCAATTTCTTTCCAGGTTTCCGAGTGTAACTGGCCTTCTCGTCAGGCTCCCAGCCTCCACAACCTTTTTGCTGTGTGTAAAAACATGCACAACTGGCTCAAACAGAATCCCAAGAATGTGTGTGTCATCACCTGCTCGGTAAGACGATGCTCATCATATACATATCATACACTTTTTTCATATTTGTTCATCGTTGGCCTGACATTGTGCATTGCCATTTAGTTTACTATAACTGCATACGTAAGGTTATCTTACTGTGAAGCACCTGTTTGGGTTGTCCCAAAACACATCTCCATGTTTTTCGGGTTGTGTTTTAATTGACTGAATATAGACAGACACATTAAAACTCAAAATCAATTGATTTCTAAGGTATTTTAAACTACAGTGTTTCGTACCACATACATTTACAGTAGTTGTCAACGCAAAGGATTTGTCATCTTGGCTGTGTCATTATATAAAAAAGCACTTTTGAGAAACTTTAGTCTTGATGTTAAAAATATCAACTTAAATCTAAAAGGGAAAACGGGTATAAAACATGGTGATTAAAATTGGGACAGTAAATAGCATAATAGGGCCCCTATAAGAAAATTATTCAAACTGTTGTTTCATACAGTTTCACTTTTAGTAAGATGATAACCCTTTAAAGCTTTAAAACTGTCAGGCCCTACATACAAATGTTTCACAACACAATCACTAATGAAGTACTCAATGAAACAGGTCTTTCTGTCTGTTCTAAATAAGTGATAGCCACACTGTACACTGGAATGTGGGAGACCATGTTATTGTCACTTTGGTTTTGCTGGGTCTTGGCAAACAGTTCCAAGTTACATAACTTCCCCTAAACGGGTCCATCCGTTTTTTTCTCTGCTCCGGATCACAAGAATGTTTTTGTCCCCCTGTAACCTTAAGTGAACTCAGAGAAGATGTATAACATTGGCTTCATTCAGAGAAAAAAAAAAATCTATTACAGGTGTTTTTAGAGTTGGTCTGTATGGACACGTCTTCATTAGTCATTTTTGTACACTTATGTATTAAATGAACTTCTTTGTGCTATGACATACAGTAGGCAGCTTCAACTTTAACAGTTTTTCACAGACCTGTGTCTTGTCTGAGATAAAGTCACAATGTTCAGTGGCTGGATCTATTCATGGCCCTACACGCTGTGCAGGGGTTCAATTGCATGGCAGAAATCACCAAACAGTATATTATTGAATCTTTAAAATATAATAGTTACCCAGCATATAATTTGCTTTGTGTTTATAGGATGGTCGGGCTCCCTCGGGTGTTTTGGTTTGTGCCATGTTCTGCTTCTGCCACCTCTTCAACAATCCAGTTCCTGCCATGCAGCTGCTCAGCGCCAAGAGACCAGGATCTGGCCTGTGGCCCTCACACCGCAGGTCCGTTTCAACGAATATACTTTATATGTGTGGGTGACAGAGAATTAGAAATATAAAAGGGGAAAAGAAGCAAAGGAACATGGGAATACAAAATGTAAGATGAAGTAGGAGAAGGGGGGATTGCTTTTTTACCTAGAGATTACAACAACAGTTTTTGAGGTTCGTAACATTTACTTAATCAGCAGGTTATACCAAGAGCTGGCCGCCCCTCAAGGATGGACATTTTAATACCCTGCCAGCTAGTTCTGCATCATTTATCAGTCCTTGTTAGAGTTTCAGTGCAAAATGAATAAGAGTTTATGGAAATGGCAGCAATAACTCATCCTTATCATACACACATAACAAAACACAAAGTGAGGCATTTGACATTGAAAACTAACACAGAATTTAAGCGATTATCTTTCTTTCTCTCCATGCAGGTACATAGGCTATGTGTGCAGCATGGTATCGGAGAAGCCCAGTCTACCCCATTCCAAGCCCTTGATGATCAAGGGTCTTACAATAAGTCCAGTACCCTGCTTTAACAAGCAGCGTAGCGGCTGTCGGCCTTTCTGTGACGTCCTTATTGGAGAGACAAAGATCTTCAGCACTGCACAGGAGTACGAGAGGATGAGGTAGGGGCAGCACTATCTTATTTTAATTGTATAAGCCTTAAATAGGAATCTATACTTGTATTTATGATACATTTGAAGGTATAATCACAGAGACTTACATCATGCTTTTTATTCCTTATGCTCCACTCCCATCTTTCTTTGTCTCTCTCTAATTTGCCCATGTTTTTTTCCCTCCCACACACTCTTCATATCCAGAGAGCACAGGATCCAAGAGGGTAAGATCGCCTTTCCTCTAGGTGCGAGTGTGCAAGGCGACGTCATTGTTTCAGTGTACCACATGAGGTCGACCATCGGAGGACGTCTCCAGGCCAAGGTCAATTTAATTTGCCTTTTTCACAATGATAATGTTGTTTGCACAAGATATATTATATTGAACTATTATCATCAAACAGTCTCAGGATGGGGCTGCTACTCAATTGAACATCTTTGCAACCAGTCACAGACACACAAACTGTCAAATATATTAATATGATAGGTAAATTATTGCTAAATCTATGAAAATAGATGTACAGTATTAAGGATTGCAAAGCAACATGTGATACAACAATGCATTATACTATTGATGCAACTAAGAATGGTAGGCCTACAAAAGCACATGGTCCAAGCATTTGATCTGCTGTTATTAGGTTTCCAACACACAGATCTTCCAGATTCAGTTCCATACTGGCTTCATTGCTCCTGGTACCACCGTGCTAAAGTTTAGCAAGTAAGGACTTTTTTTCTATTTGATAACATAATATGAGAATGGAAGAAAAAAAAAACCCTGCTGAGTACAGTCTGTTTTCCCTCTCACTCTAACAAACATACATTTTCCCTGTCAGACCAGAGCTGGATGCATGTGACTCTCCTGAGAAGTATCCCCAGCTTTTCCATGTGATACTGGACGTGGAAGTAGAGGGGGTGGACAAGCAGAAAGACCTGACGCCGCCTTGGGAGCAGTTCCCCTGTAAAGACCTCAACCCCAATGTGCTCTTCTCCTGCCACCAGGAAAATCAGGACGCCCTTGCTATCGCTGGTAACGTTGGGATGGGTAGCTTACACTGAGTACTAAACTGCCTCTGCTCATTTGAACTGCACACATTTTTTTTATCAATAACATAGACATACTGCAAAACTGAGGTTACCTACTGTAACCCAGCTTCTATGAGTATTGGCGCAGCCCTCTAAGGCTATCGCTATTGGGTTTACCCTTCTGCGCCCCCGCGCAGTACTGAAAACACTTGTAGTCCACGCCCACCCGCTAGGTGGGCCCCACCCTCGGGCCTCCTTCCGGTATAAATAGGGAGGTTGCCCGGCGATCTGCTCCCATACAATATAACTTTTCTTCAGCTATTCGTAGAGCCAGTGGGGCCCAGCGCTTAGAGGGCTGCGCCAATACTCATAGAAGCTGGGTTATAGTAGGTAACCTCAGTTCTATTTCGTATATGGCTTCGCCCTCTAAGGCTATCGCTATTGGGTTAAGGGCGAAGCATGATGTAGTCTGCGCCCCACTGGGTCCGTCCAGCACTAGAAGCACATACATACCTGCTTAATAACACCTGTGTGCCATGCGTAATGGCACATCCCCGTCCCTGGAGCAAACATACCTGTTTTCCTGACGGGGTGAAGGCTGGGAACAATACATACCGACCGCTGTGAGATAGTAGAGACGAAGGTCCCACCTTGTCCTGCGATCATAGAGGGGGAACAGCCGTTCTCTCCGTGTCAGCCAGGTAGGAGAGCTCTCAGCTGGATCCCTGACGTCACTCACTCTGACCAGGCACTCCCTACGAAGTGTGTCAGAGGAAGGGGAACGTCCCTCTCCTACGAGGGGGAAAAGGGCCGCTCTCTGTGTGCCGCGAGGCAGGAGAGAGGCGCACAGCTGGATCCCTGACGTCACTCACTCTGACAGGACACCCAGTACAGGGCGTGTCAGAGAGGAAAGGGAGACATCCCTCAAATGAAATTGAATAAATGAACAGGGGGAAGACCAAGATGCAGCCATGCAAATATCTTCCACTGACATTCCTCCGCGCAACACCGAGGAGGAGGAAATTCCTCTGGTTGAGTGCGCTTTGATATTCTCTGGAGGCTCCCCCCCAGAGGAGACATATGCCTGTGACACAGCCTCACACAGCCAGTGTGACAGCCGTTGTGTAGACAGAGGTTCCCCGATCGAGCGCTCTCTGTAATGCACAAACAGGCGCTGAGAACGGCGCAATGCCGCCGTGTGCGCTACATAGCAGACAGCGCGCGCACCGGGCAGAGGAGATGAGATGTTTCTTCTTCCTCCGACCTCTTGCATTCCATGGAACTGCTGGGGGGAGAGGCTTCTCTGTGATGTGCCGTAATGGTCGTCATGGTGACGTGCCACGCCCTCGCCGCTGCTGCCCGTGAAGCAAAAAAGCTGCGAGGGAGTTTCCACACGCTGCATTCCACTCTGTCTCTCATCATGAGGCGCGTACACGCCCAGAGGATGAGAGGTGTGTGTATGCTGTCCTCACAAGGCGTTATAACAGTGCTCGTGGATTTATTATGACCGTGAGTAGGAGGCATATCTGGGACAGAGGAATGCCTCGAGCCCTCAGTTTATAAACCAATAGGTTAAAACAGCAGGCTTCTGCAGTGAATGAAGCACCTCTGGAGACTCCCCCTGTGGGGGAGACCCAGGGGAATCCCCCCCGTGACCAGCTGACGCTAATGCCAAGCAGCTGCATTACGGAGAGGGCTGTGTGGTTTGTGACACGCCGGAGGAGAGCTGTCAGTTTCTCACTCGCTGCCAGAGAGCGCTCTGCTGCTGGCTGAGTTTTTAATTCCACTCCAGATAACGTTTGTCTGAGAGGGAAGGGAACAGCTCTTTTTCCAACTTGTTATGAAACCCAGGCTTTGACAGATGCGATACGAGATGTACCGTCTGTAAAGCGACTTCCTCCCTGGAGCGAGCCAGCAACTAGCAGGTCGTCCAAAGGAAACCACCCTCTCATCCCTCCTCTGTGTAGCGGCTCCAGCCTTCTCTACACAAAAATGGGAGGAGCCAGGAAATATCCAAACGGCAGACGATTGTCTGGTCTGATATTCCCTGAAATGAGAAACCGCAGGAATTTCCTGTGTTTCGGGATGATGGGTACGTGGAAGTATGCATCCTTCAGGTGGAAGTGAACCAGTCGTCCTGGTGAACACATTCCAGCCCCTGGCTCATTGCCCCAGTCTTTTTCGGGATTAGAAAAATAACGGGAGTGAAAACCCCTGATTTTCCTCCCTTTTAGGAAACCTGGAAATATCCTCTTTCAACAGGAGTTCCAGCAGCTCGGATTGGAGCGCAAGACATAGCTTCTGGGAGGACAGGAGTGTTTCCTGTATCCCATTGAACTGTGGGGGGCTTTTTCGTCACCACGCTGCGGGGTGTGACACGTCGAAGGAGAGCTGTCAGCGTGTCCACTCCACTCTCTGCCGTGAGAGTCGTGCTCTCATGCGGGCTGAGTTCAATTCCACCCAGGTAAACTATACTCTGGGTTGGAATGGGACAGCTCTTTTCACAATTTATCATGAAACCCAGCTTTGACAGATACGATATGAGTTGTACCGTCTGTAAAGCCGCTTCCTCCCTAGAGCGAGCCATGCAGCAGCAGGTCGTCCAGGTAAAAATAGTACTCTCATCCCTCCTCTGTGTAGCGGCTGCAACGCCGTCTCTACACACTTTGAAAAAGTACGAGGAGCCAGGGAATAGCCGAACGGCAGACGGTTGTACTGGTACGCTATTCCCTGGAATGAAAACCGCAGGAATTTCCTGTGTTGCGGAATGATGGGTACATGGAAGTATGCATCCTTTAGGTCTATAGAGGTGAACCAATCTCCCTGGTGAACACACTCTAGCACCTTTTTGACCGTCAGCATGTGAAACAGGTCGAGGATGGGTCTCATTCCCCCTGTCTTTTTCGGGATAAGAAAATAGCGGGAGTAATACCCCTGATTTTCTTCCTCCTGGGGAACCCTGGAAATAGCCTCTTTCAACAGGAGTTCCCGTAGCTCTGCTTGGAGCGCAAGACACTGTTCACGGGATGTTAGGCATGTCACCTGTATCCCGTTGAACTGTGGGGGGGGAGGCGAACTGCAGGGTGTACCCTCTGCTGATCAGCCTGTTCATCCATCTGTCCATCAAACACATGAGCTGCCACGCCGAGAAACACTGACAGCGGGCGCGCATGCTCGAGATGTGTTGTGGTTGTCATGACGACGAGCCACGCCAGAGCCCTCGCCGCCGCTGCCCGTGAGGCAACCCAAGGTGGGCCTAGAGCGAAAGGGCTGTGCGGAGGCCTCCACACGCTGCGTATCACTCCGCCTCGCATCATGAGGCGTGTACACGCTCAGAGGATGGGTGGAGGTGTGTGCAGTAATATCCACATGAGGCGTTAACACTGCGCTCCTGGGCTTATTATGACCGTGTATAGGTGGCGTATCTCGGACAGAAGAATGCCGCGAGGTCTGTGGTTTAATAACCGAAGAGTCATAACCATCAGATCCCTGCAGCGAACCCTGCTGCCTACTAATCACCAGATTGAAGGCAGCTGGTGTAATTACTGTGCTCCGCAGCTTATTAATCGATAGATTAAATAGCGCAGGCTTTTGTACCGAACCCGGCTGGCTATTAACCGATAGGTCATGGCAGCTGGCTCACCGGCCAGAGTGGGGGATATGTGAAACACATTTGAAACTGATGACTCAGCCAACATGTTGGAAAATAAGCTTCTTTTTATTTTCCTCACACTCCCTCCCAAACCGTCAAGGCCGCTCTGTCTCCTCGGCGGCTCTCATGGAGCAGACGCCGAACGGGAGTACCTCACTCCCTTTTTTTACCCCCCTCTCCTGGTGGGGGGGCGGAGGCCCCGCGAGGCAACCCAAGGTGGGCCTAGCGAAAAGGCTGTGAGGACGCCTCCACACGTTGCATTCACTCCGCCTCTCATCATGATGCGCGTACACGCTCAGAGGATGGGTGGAGGTGTGTGCAGTGATAACCACATGAGGCGTTACCACGGCGCTCATGGGCTTATTGTCACCGTGTGTAGGTGGCGTATCTCGGATAGAGGAATGCCGCGAGGTCTGTGGTTTAATAACCGAAAGTTATAACCACCAGAACCCTGCAGCGAACCATGCTGCCTACTAATCACCAGATTGAAGGCAGCTGGTGTAGTTACTGTGCTCCGCAGTTTATTAATCGATAGATTAAAATGCGCAGGCTTTTGTAACGAATCCTGCTGGCTATTTAACCGATAGGTCATAGGCAGCTGGTTTACCCAGAGTGGGGGATATGTGAAACACATTTGAAACTGATGACTCAGCCAACATGTTGGAAAATAAGCTTATTTTTATTTTCCTCACACTCCCCCGGTGCCCCGGCCGCCGCTGACGGATGATTCTGACGCCTCGGCTGCTGTTGCTGCTGGTGTCTGTCCGTCTGCCGCTGTGGCCGGGTTGGCTGCTGCTGCTGCCGCTGGTGTCACTGCTGCTTCACCGCTGGCTGTCCTCGCCTGGGACACCGCCATGGCTGCGCACAGCGACGGTGGTGTGTTCTGGATGGGCTCCTGCCCACCCCAGACGTCTTCCTCACCCGCAGCCGCTAGAGCGTCCGCCTTTCGCTTCCTGTCGGATGAAGGAAGACGCACATAGTGAGGACATGCGACCTGCTGGCTGAGAGCCGCGTCCGCGTGCTCTGGCCCCAGACAGGCTGCGCATATCGGATGCAAATCGTAGCTCATAATGTAGCCCGTATTGCACGAAGGGCACATACGGACACACTCTTTATTGCTCATGATGTTGCTTTTCTCGTGCTTCAGTAAACTGCTGGTTGCTGAAGAAAAGAGGGAGCAGATTGCCGGGCAACCTCCCTATTTATACCGGAAGGAGGCCCGAGGGTGGGGCCCACCTAGCGGGTGGGCGTGGACTACAAGTGTTTTCAGTACTGCGCGGGGGCGCAGAAGGGTAAACCCAATAGCGATAGCCTTAGAGGGCGAAGCCATATACGAAATAGAACACACTTTAGGTGGGAAGCTATAGGCTATGCTCCATTAGCTTTTGTGTGTTATTGTCTTTAATCAGCCTTTCTGAAAAGCTCTATCATAAAGATATTAGGGTTTTCTGTTCATAGTTCAATACTGGCTTGGCAACTACATGCTTGTCACACAAACAAAGATCAAAATGGAGATTATATTGTTAATTCAATCACAACATACTATCTCATGGCTCTGATACAAAAGGGAGGTAGCTGTTGGCCCATTTGTTAAAAGGTCGTAGATCTTTATTTAGGGGATGAAGATGTCACATTTTACAATCAACTATATAATTAAAAATAAAGTCAATTAGTGGCTGCACCAAAAATATGGACCTGCATCAAGTTTCAGCTCACAACCTCAATGAAAAAATACAAGGAGTAACACAAGCTAGCAGGACACCAGCTAGCTTGGTTTACATGCTAGTTAGCTAGCTAGTAACCTTGCCCGATTTTTGTGTAACATTAGCGACACGAATTCCTGTGGAACTGTACACAGTATACTTTATCTTGTTAACTTAACATTAGGACACTTTTTTCTTTACATTACTTGCTTTACTGGTTAGAGCTTCCTAACCTGAATGTGATGTAAAATCTAAGTGGTTCATTGCTAACATTTAAGCATTAACTAGGCCTACTTAAAAATAATCATAACCTTAAGGTAACTCTGATGCTAGCCAAACATAGAAAGTCTATAACTCAGACTGGTACACACAGGGATACAAAAAATCAACTGAATAGCCTAATAAATAATCACTAAACCACATTTACATATATATATATCATACATTAAAGGTGGGGTAGGTAAGTTTGAGAAACCAGCTCGAGATCGCCAGAATTTGAAAATACACAACCGGAGAAAATCTGTCACTTCCTTACAGAGCTCCTCCTCCAACACACACGAACGCGCACATGACCAATGAGGGCACGAGATAAGTTTGTGCCCAGATGGAAGGCTGACAGATAGGTAGGCCATCCAGTTACTTTAGCCGGGCCGGCTAAAATAATTGGTCGTGCTTTTTACAGTATTACGGCTTCCACAGATGACATTTTTTCATGGATTATTTGTCCAAGCACTTAAGATATTCATTGCTATCGGGATGTTAAGAGCATTCCATGGAATATAACAAAAAGTGTATCTCGAGCCGGTTTCTCAAAATTACCTACCCCACCTTTAACTTATACACACATTGTTCTGTACAAATGTTTGTGCTGGTGCAGAACTGAAGAATATCACGGATAAGTTAGGAAAATAGTGTAGCTATATAACCAAAAACACAAAAGCTCACACTTGCATGCATACACACTAATTAATTAACTTTTATTTTTGTTCCTACAAGATGAGATGGAGGGATTGGATCTAGAGGGTAAGACAGTAATGGCGACCACAGACCTGTAGGCCTACTGTAGTTACCCTGGGATGAGTTCAATTCAATCACATCGACCAAAAAATCTAGAGAGATCATTGATCCTTTTAACTAATTCATATTCTGTAATTGAAAAAACACTTGACTGTTTCCATTTAAAACCTGTTTTGATTGAATTGAAATAGAGCCCATACTTGTTCAGTTTCTGGCACAGATACCCATCAGCTGGATATCTGAATACATTAAGCCTACTAGTTTTAGTAATTCTCCTTACAAACATCTCCTTATACCTTGTGGACCAATCTATATTCTCCCTGTATCCAGACAAATATTGAGAAACTGGGTAAAAAGCACCTAAGCCCAGTGCAGCAATAGGTGAGAAACATGTTAAATGTGCTATCAAAGTGAAAAGAAATAGCTAATAGTAGCTTAGGTTTATAGTCATACTGCCCAAGCCTTCTTTTAAAGCATAGTCCATTATAGAATACAGTATCAGCAGAAGTGTTGGTACATGTAGCAGAGATTACCTATGTAATTGCCCATTATTCCTTCCTTTTTTTCTCTTAACCTCCTGTATATTTCTGTCTTTGTTACCCCAATTAATTTCCTTGGTCTGTGATATTTCTCTTTACTTTCACCCCTTTTCACTCTCTCATTGGGATATTAAATATATTTCCTTTGTCTCGTTCTTTCTCTACCTCCTTCTTTCTATGTTTCATCGTCCTGCAGAGCCAAGTCGGCCTCAAGGAGGTGCAGAAGGTCGGGCTCACGGCGAGGAGAGCGAGCCCTCGGATGATGAGATGCTGTCTCTCTCCAGCCAGCGAAGCAACGCCAGCACGGCCCCCCAAAGACCCGACCCCCCTGCTCCAATGCCTGCCGCCCCTTCACCTGCAGAGGAAATGGATCTTCTTGGCCTCGATGGGGCGGGGATCAACCGACCTTCAACTCAGCCCCCGTCCGCTGCAGCCGCAACAACTGACCTTCTCGGGGACTTGTTCGGGGGCCCACCCCAGCCAACCAGTGGGGGGTCATCTGCCCAGTCCACACCACATAAAGTAGCCCCAAACACTGCCTCGCCATGTCCCTCACCGACACCAACAGGTGAGATAACTTGAAGTACATTTCAATGAAACAAATATTCACATGTGATATTGCAATTAGACTCCTTACTACAAATGTGGGGTTTATTATATATCCTAATATTGATATTGTTACCTACATGAATGAAATGAAATGAATGAAATTCCCTTCCTATTCTTTGTTGCTCTTAACCACATTATACAGTATGATATGTGGTGAAATCTTCACATCTCATGGTTTTCAACAGAGTGTAATTGGAACATAAATTAAGATAATTTTGTCAGGCTTACACAAGTTTAGGAATTAAAACGGGGTCATGAAAATGAAGGATGAAAAAGTAGGTTCTTGGAAGAAATAAATCAATTAGTAGACCTTCGGAAAGTAAGAACAATAACGTTTATTTTACAATATGTAATGAAAACAATCAAAGATTTATTGGAAAATAGAAAATGCTAGATGATTACTCTTTTGTCACGTAAAAAAAGGATCATTTTTTAAATATATACTATTCAAAGAATTCCAGTAACACTACACATTTAAATTGCAAAAAGTAATACATTAAAGGTCCCATGTCATGCTTTTCCGGTTATTATCCGTCCCCCTGTGTGTTATGAAGGTTTCTATGCATGTAAACGGTCTCCAAAGTCACAAACCCTCAATGTACACCCTGTAGCGAGTAAAACTAACACGGAAAATACCTGCTATGCTGCCCCAGAACGCCTCGTTGGAGATTTCTCTTTTTCCATTGTTTTCTACAGTGACGTGCCCATATCCAAATGGACCCATTGGTCCAAATGGACCAATCCGTGGAGCCGTTATGTTACGTCCGCGGAGCCGTTACGTTGGACCAATCCGCGGACTTCCTTACACACACACACTCAATCTTTTCTCAGCTGCAGCTCCGCCGATTTCTCCTCCCTGAGACGGCGGGACGCGGCGAGGCTGTGAGTCGGTGTGTGAACACAAACTCCCAGCCAGGCTGCGGGTGTATGTGTGTTCGGGCTGGGTTTCGCTGTGTCTCGCTCTCTCGCAGATGGCCACTGGGCTCATAGGGAGGGAGTGGCAGGAGCTCCAACAAGCCGTTTAGGACAGAGAGTGAATACACATACTATACAGAGATGCTGTATAAGAAACCAATGTGATTTTGGAAAATTGCACAATATAAATCTATTTTAGTAGACTTCAACAATGGAAATATGATCAGTAGAAATGGCCATGACATGAGACCTTTAAGTGAAACAAAATAAACTAGTTAGGCTATGTAATTTAATAGAGTAACAGAATAAGATTATTTTTTTGTTTGTTTCCCTCAGCATTTGATCCCTTCGGGGCAGGTCCCATGCCTAAGCCTCAGGACATGATGGGTTCATTCCTTGCAACAGGTAACGTGGGGCAGCCAGACCCCTTCCTGCATGCTGCTTGCTCTCCATCACCCACCCTGCAGCCTAAAAGCTCGGGTAAGGCATGCTTCTGCTGCTGAACACTCTCACAGCATTTTATATTTAGTTGAAGACTCCATATTAAGCTAAGACAAGTTAGTGAGTGTCTGCTGCTACTGTATGCCTTAAAAATGTTTCCCCAAAATGCATGAGCCTGCACCGTTATAAATGTCTTTTTCCGTTCTCATAATTTTGCACTTCTCATTGCTTAATCACACGCTTGCTTGCAAGAGTGAGCCTGTATATTATTGCTGCTGTATGTTTGGAAATGATTATGTTTTACAAGTGTTTGAAGCATGTCTGATTAGTATTGCATGCAGATTGCACAGGCTTCATGTCACCCCAGCACTTGTGATTTATGTTTCTATGAAACAACTTTTTCAGCCTGCTGACATTTCTTGCGATTCAACACTTTCTACAGAGGAGTCTGTGCATAATGAATCAAGACCAGAACATTATCAGTATGCTTTTTAATCTTTGATGTATATTGCTAATTCTAAATTTACAGTAACATTTAATGTACATGTTGGCCTGAGCCCAACCTTAACTTGCACTAATGCTTGTAAAAACCGATCTGAACAAGCCTTATAAATATTTAGTAGAATTTGCCGTCCTCTATTTCAAGTATTTAATACACGTTTTTTGGCTCTTGACAAAAGGATAATATACCAACAAAACCAACAAGAGAAGCACATATTCAGTCAGAGGCTTACCACCAATAAATTGAACATGATCATCGCAGTTAGGTATGACACTTTTTTGTCTTGGAGCAAGGAATATATCAACAGTAAATGTAGTTTCAAGAACTAACACCAGATCCATTCAGACTTCAAACATCCGCTAGTAACGCTTTATGACTTATCATTTTCTTTGACTGTCTGGATTCATGTTGCTCAGTTCCTCTTCATTGTGTGTTCAGTCTTGGACTAACCTTTATATTTCCCTGTAGGCCGAAACTCCCCCGTCCCACCAAGCACCCCAACCGTCAACATTCAGCAGCAAAATGCAAAGGGAGGGTGGGACTGGAACAGACCCGCTACTACAAGCACAGGTAGAGACCAGTAACACACACACACACACACACACACACACACACACACACACACACACACACACACACACACACACACACACACACACACACACACACACACACACACACACACACACACACAATGTTCTAATTCCAATTTGTCACTGAAAAAAAAGACTGAAGATTAAAAAAACACTCTAAAACGTATATGCATTGTTTGTTGATTTATCCAGGAGCGGGCTTTAGTATGGGAAGTCGGTCAGCCACTACGAGCCCCACAGGCTCAGTCAACAGCACCCCCACCCACCAATCCAAGCCAAACTTGGACCCATTCGCTGACTTAGGCAACCTCGGTGGAGGTCAGTCACTAAAAATTTGCTGAAGCCCAACGCGACTGATATTTTTATCTCATGTCATTATCTCCGTTTTTTTTACAATTGCAGGCTCTGGCTTCTCCAGCAAACCGACCACTCCTACTGGGCCTACCCCTCCCATCCCTCCCATCCCTCCCATCCCTCCCATGGGCTCCCCTTCCCGACCACCCCCGTCTCCCCAGCATGCAGAGGGGTGGCAGTCCAACCCAGGAGCAGGCTTCCCCTCGTGGCAGCCAGGTGCTGGAGTTGGCGGAGGATGGCAATCCCAAGGACCGGGCCCCGCCCCGCAGCCAAAGCCCAGCCCCAGCCACACCCCCATGCCTCACGCATCGCCCGGGGGCCGACCCAACTACAATGTCAGCTTCTCAGCAATGGGAGGGGGCTCGCCCAGCGCAGCGGTTAAAGCACAGGCTAGCATGGGTAAGCAGGAGAAGGGGACTTGGATTTGATACTGTCTGTCATTATGCAGTTTGCTCGGAGTTTAAAAAGTTTGGAGTGTGTTTAATTCTTTATGCATGAGATATTTAACATTATTTGCCAAAATGGTTCAAAATGAATATACTATTAAAAAAAGGAAAACAAATACTATATTTAGAAGAGAGAGCAGAAAGGTAGGTGTAGTATTTAGACTTGATTTCTGTATACATTAACGTTTTGATGCTGTAGAAATGGATCTGCCAGAAAGAGTACATTGGATCTAGTTGTTCAGAAATATACAATAAGTGACGGATTATCTTTAAAAGTATGTATTTTTGACTTTCTGTTTATATCCCTGTGTGCCAGGTACTAAGCCGAAAGTCGTGAATGCCAACTTTGATGACCTGCTGTCTGGTCAGGGCTTCGCTGGGACCAAAGAGAAGAAAGGGCCCAGGACTATAGCAGAGATGAGGAAGGAGGAGATGGCCAAAGAGATGGACCCTGAGAAAATAAAGGCAGGTTTTTTTCTTAAGTTTAATTGAGTTACATTTGGTTAGTCATAGAAATAATAGTTGGTTTGTTTATTTGCTGTCAGAGTTTCTGTGAGTAACTCCATAAAGTCATGTGACTATATCCGAGGAGAATTATGGTTTGACATCAGTTCACTAGGTTTTTTATCATAATTTCATTTAGTTTAGCTTTGGCTGTTAAAGCCTTTTTGGTTGTTTCAGAATTAATGAAGCGACCAATATAGGTCTCCCACGATGAAACTTTGGTTCTCCTAATATCTCCTTCAAAAACATTTCCCCAGAGCCAGGAACCATCATCAAAGCATTTCTGCTAATAATTGCCCCAAATCTTGGCATCACTGGCTAATGGCCCTCCCCTCTCTCCCTGTTTGTGACCCAGATTCTGGACTGGATCGAGGGGAAGGAGCGTAACATCCGCGCTCTACTGTCCACCATGCACACGGTGCTGTGGGAGAGGGAGACGCGCTGGAAGCCTGTAGGCATGGCTGACCTGGTCACGCCAGAACAGGTCAAGAAGGTCTACCGCAAAGCAGTCCTGGTCGTGCACCCAGATAAGGTGAGACACATGTGCTAGTGGACTTCATAATAATAATATTAATGATGACTGAGAAGTGAGGATATTTACTTGTATGCATGCTAGGAGATACAGTATGTAAATCCCTCTTTCCCTATATCAAAGTTCTCTTCAATCCGCCCTGTTTTTATTGACATTTCTTTGCATTGTTTGGGGTCCCACAAACTCTATGTTCCCTGTCAGAAATATATACTGTATATCCTGCTCTTTTTGTTAAAACCTGATATAAGTTTTGAAGTTGTAACCCTTCCCCTTGAACCAACTTGATCTGCACAGCCATGACAACAACAACAAAAATAATACTTTTAGTAAAAATATAGTGTTTTTCTAGCACCAAGGACACAAAACAATCAAATAATTAAAAACTAAAACATTAGAATAAAAAGCAACAAACTAGACTTTATAGATACAGATGCAAAATACAAGTAGCAATACAAAATTACTGATTTGTTTAAAATGTGACAACTGATCATTGATAAACATTAAAAAGTGTCAAGGATAGCATTTGGAGGATGAATTATGTTATTGTGCACTTGTGTGTAAGCTTCAATCTTTGAATTGAGTTGGGTATTATGATTGATTCTTTTTTTGATGTCCTTATTTCTTTTGACCTGTTGTATATCTGTAACCTTTTATTTGTACTGTTGCCATTGAGACAATCAAGTTTGGCAAAGGCAAAACAGATGCTTTGCATCACTCATTTGGATATGGCTAGAAGAGGAGAAGTGTTCAGGTTACTCTCCTGTGTGTTACCGCTTTCTCCTTCTTTCCCACAGGCCACAGGACAGCCCTATGAACAATATGCCAAGATGATTTTCATGGAACTAAATGACGCCTGGTCAGAATTTGACAGCCAAGGACAAAAAACCCTCTACTGAATAAATAGTGAGAGGAAGTGAGTGAGAAGAGGATGTCCCTCCTGATTCTGTCGTCTAACCCTCCTAAAAGTGTGTCACCACCTTTGGTCGACAGACTACAGCTCCTCCTCCAACATCGCCTTTATACCTGTGCTTTGACCCATATCTCTCTTCTCAACAAACACAGAACATCCAGTCGATCTACAAAGACAGTAAAAGACAACAAAACTCCAGTGACTAACAGTGTGACTGCTCTAATGAACCTACCTACTGAATGTTTGTGGTGCAACATTACCCTCCCTTGTTGAGTGTCTTTAGCCCTGAAACCAACCCAGCATTCAAAAGCGGAGTCACCGGGACGTCTAGAAAAACAAAATAAATGCTTGATTCAGAGGAGATGTATCAAAAGTGACAAGAGACGGTGGACAACCAAGATTAGAGAAAAATACATCAGGGAGTAAATTGAGCAAGCATGACACAGACTGCTTTTAAAAAGGGGATTCAGGTGGTCTGTAAGGAACAAGTAAGCATTTCATATCAATTTAAGCTACTTACACACAAAACATTGGTTTCCATCCAAAATAGGGGTGGTTGGAGGTACAAATTAACAATCTTTCTCATTTAAAAAGTGCAGAGAATAATTACAAATTGCTGACACTGCTTCTGATTACAGGTCGGCTTCTTAATTATCTTAAAAATGTTAACTGCTGACAGTGAATGAAAATGAAGAGGCTCTTCAATGAAAACACAGATCAGAAGGCTGCTCCCAACCTTATATACATATAACAGATTAACACTATGGTGTTTTGACTTTAGGTGAATGATTCTTGATGTGTGTTCCCATGTTTGCAGGGAACCGAGGGTTATATACTGTATTCTGGGATTAGCACATGTACAGATCCATACCTGAAGCACCTTGAGGCTTCTCACTCATAGTCACATTTTTTTTTGCAGGCGAGCTGTGTGAAAGCACAAACTTTGCTCGGTGCACCTTTGAAGGAAAGCCATTGTTATTTATTTATTTGTTCATTTGTGTTTGTCTTCATATATTTTTTCATGTGTCAGGCCTGCTAAATTATTTGTGTTAAATGTAACTGCACATGTTGTCAGATAATGTATGTAAAGTTATTTGGGTTATTTGCAGGGAACTGTTTTACTCATTTACTGACAAAACACAGGAATGTCTTCTGAGACTATATCAGACTATGATAGCCTTTATAGTCTGCAATAACATTTTCCAAACAACAGATGTGGAAATATCTATTACAAATGACATTTCTATTCAAAGTCCCTAAATTGCGAGTCGCAGGATTGAAAATGTTCTCATACCGTAAAATCATATGAGGGAATTAATGAGCTTTAGTGAAACTAATTTCTCTCAAATCGCTCGTATTACATATCTGCTGTTATTTCAAGACTTATATCAAAACACTAATTTGCAGTGATTGCAAAATGTTTTTTTTAAATTACTTGTTATGTATCTTTGTTTACATTTGTTTACATTTACATCACAGCACTGACACTTTTATTTGTAATTATCATGTGCTCTTGAGTTCTACTGACACACTTTCATATCAAAGGTAACAGAAAATGTTGCATTTTTTAATAGTGATTGATTGAATCTAAAAACAGATTATATTCTCCCCATATAGTTTCAATAATATACTGATGGTATTGTTCTTCTGTACGATAAAAACTGTAATACTGGTGTTGTCATTTTGTGTAGAAAGTATTATAAGGTTCTGAAATGAAGTCCATCGGCAAATGGCAAACATATGCAAGATAGAGAATACTTATGTACTCATAGTAAGTTGAATCAATTCTCAATTTCTCAGACATTTTATTTACAACATCCTTACCTTACAGCTTCGAGTGATTGACAGAGCTCTACTGTAACCCCCTGTTTAAACTCAATTTTCACAAAAGCTAATAAGGCAGAATATCTACAGAGACATGTTCATAAACCGCTCTTTATATCATAACTGTTTTCATACTCTCTGTTTTGGAAATCCTTTTTAACCGTCATGTGGTTTATCTCCCTTGGTTTGACTTCATTCATACCCAGGACTCCAAGTTTGTTCATGTGTGTTTCGGACTTTGACTCAATACTGAACACTGGAAATAAAGTATGACTTCTAAAGTGCTGTTTCTTCAACTGGGTTTGGGACCCAGAATGGATTACATGGCAGAGCTTTTTGGCTGAAATACATCGCTGAACAAGACACTGAGTCTCAAGGTGAAAATGTTGGGCCCTGAACTCAAGGCTACTGCTTGACCAGATGCAGGAAGTGTGTAGTGTGTGCTTCTGTGCTCTATTTACACTGAGGAACTACATGTGAAATAACCCTCATAAGCTCCCTCGCTGACTGAACTCTTTACCTGCAATCTATCGGCTATGTTAAAAAGCTAAGCTCTATATTGTAGTCAGTGGATGTGTGTCGTTTGAAATTGTGGTGCGTATGGAAGTGATCCGATTTGGACACAGACTACTGTACGTTATGTGTTTGCCTGTCTGCTGTAAGTATTACTAAACTGTGTAAACAATTCTGTTCATGTGTTCCTTTTCAGTTCTGTTTACCAATACATGGGATGTACATAATGATCGAGTGCAGTGCACAAAAATAAATAGTCAACAGAGAACAAAAGCATTCCTCTGCAGGTTTTATTGTTTTTCCTCATTTTGAACACTAGAGGGTAGCAATGAATAACAAATGAGCTTCATCACTGCACTGTGCTCATAAATGGAAGAAGTGCGTACATTATTTAACAAAATAAAAGTACCAGTTCAACAATTTTAAAATACACAAATACAAGTAAAGTCCTATAAAAAATGTGTTCGTATTAACTACTTTTTTACTACAAAATACACATTAGTACTACTCACATTATGGACTTTTTTCCTATTTCTGGATAGTTTTACTTCTAATAGTTATTGAAATAATACCATATGATAAGTTCAGAAGGATCTGAAGCCCAGACCAGACACCTTCTTTTTGAAAATAATTTAAAGCCGAATAGATTGGAAACCAAAAGTTTTAGATGTTTTCATACATTATATTTTATAAGCTTGTAAATGTTTTAAATGTAAAATCTGAAACTGAACTACTGATATTTGCTTTCAGAAAATGTATTGGAGTAACACACATTTGGAATATGTACTTGACAGGCAGTAATATCAGTTGAAAATGATATAGACCTGCTGATCAGTCAACTAAACGATTGACAGGAGAGTAATCAATAAAATATTGTTTTAATTGATTAATCATGATCAAACATTGCTAATAATATTTAACTAAATATCTTTTGGTCATTTGTAAATCAATAATATTGTCGGTAGATTGAAAAAGGAAAATAATGGTCAGTTACAGCCCTTCAGTCAATGTGACTCTAACCTTATCCCTTTGCAAATGTCTGCATTACTCTCTTTTTTTTATCAGTGCAACAAAACAAATAGTGACTAAATCTGGGAGTTGACCTTTCTAAGTGGATTGCCAGCATTTTAACAATCATGATCCTGAAATCAGATATATTCTGCGGTACAATTCTGCTGTTCACGACTGCATCTCCTCTCATATGTTACCAGTGAGGGATTTTCTCCCCACAGGGATGAGCTCCGGGAAAAACATGAATGCAGTGTCAGTGTTTGACTAGCCAGGAGGACATTTGGGGTAATAGAGTGGCGAAGTCCCTCCCCTTCCGGTGGACCTCCATGGGACCTTATTTCGGAAAAATTATGTATTGAAGTCAATGGAGAGAAAAAGATTATCTTTCGATCCCGTTTGAATTGTGTCACGAATTACACATATGATGTTTGTCAATTTAAAAGATAATTTTGCAAGTCAAAAAAAAAAAAGAAGTGTCGTAAGACTGTGAAGTTACACATTTGTTTGTGTGAAACGATGAATGAACTACATCTCCGGTCTAGCAGAACTACACACGTCAGTGACGTCACCAAGATGTCCGTCACTACTGTCTTGTCAACAAAAGGATTGACTACCCTCACTATCACCACAATGAAACACGTCCAGAAGAATGTCATGCAGAGCTGCCTGCCTGCCTTTGATTCTCTCTGAACTGCCTGGTCTTTTTAATGTTGAATGTCAACCATTTGTGCAGATAGCGTGAAGTAGAAAAGATCGCAGATACTAATGTAGTGTTAGCATTTCTCCCCCGGGCTTAAATTGTGTATTATAGAATGATCACACCGGTGTGACAGTACTCTTCATAGGGTTCACGAAATATGACTACTACTCTTACTGTTTAACATGTTGGGTTACTTCATGTTACTTCATGTTAAGGCTAATAAAAATGACAAGGCTGTAATGCTAACTAACGTGCTAGCTACTAGCTAGGTAGCTAACTTGATCCAGCCACTCCTGGTCCTTTCATCAGACGGGAAGCGAAAGAACGCAAGACCCATTGCTGGTATGATAACAACCTGGTACTAAGCACACATGCATCTTGTTAAAGTTATCTTATCTTATTTATTGCTGATCTTAGCTATCTCTTAGTGGAGAAAAACAGTTATGACATCACTTACGCGACTCTGGGATTTGTAGTCTTTCTCGTTGCATATTTTTCATAGTCTTATATTTCAACAGTTTTACGACAAACTGTGACTTTCTTGACATGGAAATTATTTTTTAAGATTGACAAACATCATATGTGTAATTCATCGCACAATTCAAACAGGATCGAAAGATAAGTCTTCTCTCTTCATTGACTTCAATGCATAATTTTTCCGAAATAAGGTCCCATGGACTGGAAGTAGATGGGCGTGACTTTGACACTATCGAAAATAACCCCTCTAATCAGTATTTCATTCTAAACAATGTAACTGTAGTGGCGTCGCCTGGCCTGGGCATTCGGGGCTTTAGCCCAGAATGTTTTTTCTGTAGCCCCGGACAATTCTCCCTCAATAATATTTCATTGACCGTGCTTTACGTGAACCTCATCATGACACAAGAGAGGACGGCAGGACTGTAATTTCCCGTGTTCAGTGAATGCAACAGAGGCATGACACCAGACCAATAAGAGAGTTGCATGGAAATAAATGTGTGCTTGTGTCATTCAAGCTCGGCTCTGTGTGTGTGTGGAAATAGCGCATTTAGTGTGCTATGCACACTAAATGCATGGCACACAGAGAGAGAGGGAGGGAGAAAGGGAGACCGGTGCCAGCAGGGACCGTGTTGTTAGCATCTGGTTAGCTAGCTGCACTAACGGACATAAGGAGCTGTTTGTTCCACAACAAGCTGGAGGAGAGTCCTCTCCTCTCAGACTGAGAGACTCAGGTGAGCTAAAGGACTCTCTTACCTCATTCACACCAACGGTGTTTCAGGGCCGGTTCGGAGCTGGAGCTTGAAAAGCACCGGGTTCTCCTGTTCACACCGCAGCGGAGCAGCCTCTTAGCTCCGGAATCCGGTTCATTTCGAGCACCAAAAAAGTGTCCGGCCAGAGCAAAAGCACCACATACGTCACGCTTACGTCGAGGCGGGGGCAGGGGCAGATCAACTCCTGAACAACAACAAAAAGCCAGCGTTTTATCCAGTTTGTACACAACGATAGAGAAACTTAACAAGCAGCAGTGGTCCACTGAAGAGACCAGCTAGCTACTGGGAATCTGGTCTTCCGAAGAGGTACAGAAGAAGCTGGAGCACAATCGGCCATTGTTGTTGTTGTCGGTGTCAGCTGTGAGGGGTTTCTGCGCGGTTTGGGTTTATGAAGCAGGCACGCAAACGGTTACGTCATGACGCAAACGATGACGAAATGACGCAGCACCAGTCGGACTCTGGGCGGTGTGAAAAGAGCCGGAGCTAAACCGAAGAACCGGTTCTGAACCTGAAAAGCTCTAGCACGGAGCTTGAACCGGAGTTGCATTTGTGTGAATGAGGTATCTGAGTGTTTAGATAGTTCACTTTAGTCTTACATTCACACCTAATAGTCCGCTCTCTGGTGCGCACCAGACCACAGTTTGTTACATGGTTTCATTTTTCAGAAGGTTCGGTTTGCGTTCACACGGGCAAAAGTCAAACGGACAATAAACTTTAAACACAAGTCATGTGCACGGAAATGCTGTTCAACCATTGGTGAGACATTAATGGGGTAAGTAAAACCGCAAATCCCGGCAATTTCTACCGGAGCCTCCGCCATGGAGCATCGGCACTTTCGGCAGGTTATTCTCATGCTGCTGTTAATCAATCAATCAATGTTTATTTATATAGCCCAATATCACAAATGTTACATTTGTCTCAGTGGACTTTACAGTTTGTACAAAATATCAGTATGACAATACGACACCCTCTGTCCTTAGACCCTCACATCGTACAAGGAAAAACTTCCGAAGAAAACCCACAGTTTAAAGGGAAAAATGGGAGAAACCTCAGGGAGAGCAACAGAGGAGGGATCCCTCTCCCAGGACGGACAGACGTGCAATAGATGCCGTGTGTAAATTGAAAAGATAATACATTTGCAACATAGGTAGTCCAAATGTTTGGAAATGCATGTGTGTATAATAGGAAGATGAATCCACGAGGATATCCATCCAGGACCTATGATCCAGGACCACAGCCACGACTCAAGATCCAGGACAGAGGAGCGCAGGATCATCCATGACTCCGGATCCCGGCGTATACAGACACCAAAAAGAAAGACATTTGGGGAAGCTGGGTTAATCGGAACATGAGAGTACACAGGTATAGACAGAGAGAAGGAAGAAGTAAGATGTCCCCCGACAAACTAAGCCTATATCAGCAAAACTAGGGGCTGAATCTAATCAGCCCTAACTATAAGCTTTATCAAAAAGGAAGGTCTTAAGCGCACTCTTAAAAACGGATAGGGTGTCTGCCGCCCGAACACAAACTGGAAGCTGATTCCACAAATGTGGAGCTTGATAAGAAAAGGCTCTGGCTCCCATTGTACTTTTAGAGACTCTAGGAACAACCAACAACCCTGCATTCTTGGAACGCAATGCCCTAGTAGGACAGTAGGGTATAATGAGTTCTTTAAGGTAAGATGGCGCCTGCCCATTAAGGGCTTTGTAGGCGAGAAGAATAATTTTAAATTCTATCCTGTGTTCTATAGGGAGCCAGTGTAAGGCAGCCAGAACAGGAGTAATGTGGTCCCTTTTCCTAACTCTGGTTAGTACACGAGCTGCAGCATTTTGAATCAGCTGAAGCGACTTGACTGACTTCTTGGTACACCCTGATAATAAAGAGTTACAATAATCCAGCCTTGAAGTAACAAATGCATGGACTAGTTTCTCTGCATCGTTTTGAGGCAAGATATGCCTGATTTTTGCAATGTTACGTAGATGGAAGTAGGCGGTCCTTGAAATTGATTTTATGTGGGCGTTAAAGGATAAATCCTGATCAAATATAACACCAAGATTCCTTACAGTCTCACTGGAGGCCAAATTAATGCCATCCATGGTTAATATATCCTTAGATAATTTGTTTCGTAGATTCTTCGGGCCAAGTACAATAACTTCAGTTTTGGTCGTGTTTAACATCAAAAAGTTTAAGGTCATCCACGTTTTTAAGTCCTTAAGGCAGTCTTGAATTTTATTTAGATGATTAATTTCATCAGGCTTGATTGATAAATATAGTTGAGTATCATCCGCATAACAATGAAAATGTACAGAATGATTCCTTATAATATTGCCTAACGGAAGCATATATAATGTGAACAAAATAGGTCCGAGCACTGAGCCCTGTGGCACTCCATGGCTAACTTTGGTTTGCGTGGAAGATTCATCATTGACACGTACAAACTGAGAGCGTTCAGATAGATAGGACCTAAACCAGTCTAAAGCAGTTCCCTGTATGCCAACTAAGTGCTCTAGTCTTTGCAATAGGATATCATGGTCGATAGTATCAAATGCAGCACTGAGATCGAGCAAAACAAGAATAGAGACACGTCCCTTGTCAGAGGCTATTAGAATGTCATTTGTGACTTTAACCAGAGCTGTCTCTGTGCTATGATGTGTTCTAAAGCCAGACTGAAAATCTTCAAATAAATCATTGTTTTTTAAGTAATCACACAGCTGTTTTGCGACCGCTTTCTCAAGAATTTTTGAGAGGAACGGAAGATTGGAAATAGGTCTATAATTGGCTAAAACCTCTGGATCGAGGTTGTGCTTTTTAAGAAGCGGTTTTATCACTGCTACTTTGAATGATTGTGGAACATAGCCTGATAATAAAGACATATTCATAATATTTAATAAATAAGTGCTAATTAATGGAACAACTTCCTTCAACAGCTTAGTTGGAATTGGGTCTAACATACACGTTGATGGTTTAGAAGAGAGAATCATTGAATTTAATTGTTCAAGGTTTATGGCTGAAAAGCATTCTAGTTTACTATCTAGTGTAATATTATAACTTACGTTTCCGGGAGCTGTTGATAACACTATACTGGTCAAAGGCAAGAGGTCATTAATTTTGTTTCTAAGAGTAACAATTTTATCATTAAAAAAGCACATAAAATCATTACTACTGAGTGCTATGGGAATAGAAGGCTCAATCGAGCTGTGGCTCTCTGTCAGCCTGGCTACAGTGCTGAAAAGAAATCTTGCATTATTCTTATTCTCATCTATTAATGAAGAGTAGTAGGCTGCTCTCGCTTTACGCAGTGCTTTCTTATATTCATTGAGAGTAATATGCCAAATTAAACGAGATTCTTCAAGTTTAGTGGAACGCCATATCCTTTCAAGTTGTCTCGACTTTTGCTTTATTTTGTGGGTTTGGGCATTATGCCATGGAGCTAATCTATGTTGTTTTATTTTCTTCTTTTTCAAAGGAGCAACAGAGTCTAATTTTATTCGCAGCGCATCTGTAGCACTATCAACAACATGATCAATTTGGGGTGGTGTACATTTTGTATAAGTTTCCTCCCTTACATGCAGACATGCTATCGAGTTAAGTATTGGTGGAATCTCTTCCTTAAATTTGGCTATAGCACTAACAGATAGGTTTCTGCTGCAGGAGCTTTTGACTAATGCTTTGTAGTCCCGTAACAGTACTTCAAAAGTTACTAAGAAATGGTCGGATAAAGCAGGATTATGTGGTTCGACTAATAGTTGCTCAATTTCAATACCATAAGTCAGAACAAGGTCGAGAGTGTGATTATAGCAGTGGGTTGGTTTATTTACACTCTGACAAAAACCAACAGAATCTAATATAGAGTTAAATGCAACAGTAAGGCTATTTTTATCATCGTCAACATGAATATTAAAGTCACCTACGATAATTACTTTATCTGTTTTAAGAACCAAAGTTGATAAAAACTCAGAGAATTCAGATAAGAATTCTGAATAAGGACCTGGTGCACGGTACACTGTAACAAATAAGATTGGCTGCAAAGTTTTCCAGGTCGGATGCGTAAGACTAAAAACAAGACTTTCAAAGGAGGTATAATTTAATTTTGGTTTAGTATTGATAAGTAAACTTGAGTCAAAGATTGCTGCAACTCCACCTCCTCGGCCCGTGCCTCGGGCAATATGAGTATTGATATGGCTGGGTGGAGTGGCCTCATTTATGCTGACATATTCTTCATGTCTCAACCAAGTTTCAGTGAGACAGCATATATCAATATTATAATCTGATATTAAATCATTTACCAATATTGCTTTAGATGCTAGAGATCTTATGTTTAAGAGACCACATTTAATATTCCTGTTTTGTTGCACTGTAGTAGTTGTTACATTTACTTTTATTAGGTTATTATGTATGACACCTCTATTAGGTTTTACCTTAACTTGTCCTTGGGCAGACACACACACCGCTAATATTGGGTATTTTATTGGGTTCGGGATTCCTATGGATGACTGCCTAGGAGAGAGCGCAGAGAAGCGTGTAAGACTGCGACTCCGCCTCCTGGTCTCAACTCCAGTTTGTCATGGATTAAGTCCACAAAGCCCTGAAATGTTTGCCGAAATGAGATTTGCACCTTCCAAAGTAGGATGAATGCCGTCTCTCTTAATCAGACCAGGTTTTCCCCAGAAGGCTGTCCAATTATTTACGAAGCCCACATTGTTTGCTGGGCACCACCAAGACAACCAGCGCTGAAATGATGACATGCGGCTATACATGTCATCATTGATCAGATTGGGGAGGGGACCAGAGAAGATTACGGTGTCCGACATTGTTTTAGCATAACTACACACCGACTCCACATTAAGTTTGGTGCATTCTGATTGGCGTAAACGAACATCATTACCACCGACGTGAATAACAATCCTACTGTATTTACGTTTATTTTTAGCCAGCAGTTTAAGATGCGCCTCAACGTCGCCCGCTCTGGCCCCCGGAATGCATGTGACTGTGGAGGCTTCGGTCTCTAATTTCACGTGTCTCATAATAGAGCTACCAATAACCAGAGTTGGCTTCTCATCGGGTGTCTCGCTGAGTGGGGAATATCTGTTAGATACGTGAACGGGTTGGTGGGGACCTGCGGGTTTCGCGTTATGCCCCTTCTGAACAGTCACCCAGTCTCCCTGCTGCTCGGGAGTTGCCGGGGGACGGCTAATAGGAGCTACCTTTTGCCGGTCCGCACCGGCTAACATGGGCTTTACTGTAGCTGAGTTACTTTCTAAGATGCGGAGCCGGGCTTCTATGGCTATGATTCCCGCCTCCAACCTAACAACTATACTACATTTAACACATGTATCGGTACCAGTAAAGGAGGCAGGGAAGTAACCAAACATGAGACAGTTAGAGCAGGAAATAGCACCCGAGGGTGGGGAAAGAGCCATGGCTAGCTATCAAGCTAAAGTAGCTACCGTTAGCAAACCCGAAAAGAGTGTAGGCAACTGTGGAGTTACAGTCGCTAAGAGAAGGAGAGTTGTGAGTGCTTAAGCTGTAGTAACGTGTGATTACAACGTCAGGCAGTTGCCGTGATCAAGAGTTTTAAAACGATCGATTAAGTTAAGATAATAAGCTATCAGCAACAGAACGGGCACACGGGATACCCGGAGATGACAACAACCGGAAGTTATAACATGCTTACCGCAATAGTGGTCCGTGTAGAAACAGGACAGGTCTGGAGATCAACAGACACTAGCGGCCCGCGCATATGATTATCAGACAATGTCCGTTAAAAAACATTATAACACATATAATGAGAGACGTTCTGCAGTAAGGAGGGGCGTTTCACCAACGACAGGTGTATACTTTTATGTAGCTGACAGAGAATTTTTACTTTACATGACACTGTTCAACACTTCATTCTGCTTCACTCTTTAAATTAACAACCGCGGATGTCTTGAAAGACTCACTCGCTAAAGATTTTTGAAGACATCCGCGTTCTTGTGACACGTAAATACTACGCTTCCTATGTTTTGGTGCGGCCTGCGTTCACACCAGCAATGAAAGCTCCAGAGTTCGGAAAGCAAGCGTTCCGAGACCACCTATTTTAGCGGACCAGAGTCCGGTTGTTTAGTTCACTTCAGAGGTCTCGGACTGTGTTCACACCAACCCAAATGAACCGCACCAAGCGGCTAAACGCACCAGGGTTAGAATCAACCGGACTATAAAAGGCTGGTGTCAATGCGCCGTTATCTCAGTGGGTCTCAAACGGTTTGGTCACAAATTATTCAAAATATTATTTCCACGGCACACCTTCATATGATCATTATAGTCTATATGGCAGTAAAACAAGAATAGAGTTTAAAAGGGGAGTGATTTGTAAAATATCCATAAAGAAAAAGAAAATCTGTTTACAGTTCTGTTTCATATGGGTGTTGAGAGAGGTATCCTGTTAGAGATTAAAAGGGATATCTGGTCCGTTTTTCAAATCTCTGCGCGTCCCTATCAAGCTGGTTAATACAGGAAGAAATCCAGAGCTACCAAGTAAACAATATCTACTTTAATGGTAATATTACAATGCAATACAGTCAATACAGTACAAACTTAATACAAATTACCTTTGGGATCCCGAATTTACCTGCACGTGTGCCAGCCAGAGGAAAGAGACTGAACACAGCGTGTGTCTCTGTTTTTATATTAAACAATGGGAGGAGTTATCTGATCCTCCCTTTGGACCTCCTTGATTAGATCACAAATACCACAGATCTTAGTTTATCTGATCCGCCCTTTTGGACTTCCCCAATCACTGTAGCTCAGTTCCATTATCTCTAGATCTAAGTTGAATGCAAATCAATACATGCTCTCACCTTCCTTTGTCCTCAAAAACACATGACAACAGGCCCCACATCCAGCTCACAGTTCCACCCAAATTATTCCCATTTTAAGCTTATCCATAGTTTGCTAACATGAATAAATACAAATATAACTCTACAAATCCCCCTTTTGGTCTCATTTTAAGAGATCAACTATTTCAAGACACTCACATTATAACCTGGGATTCAGACTATTTAAACATTCAGGAATGGCTCCACATATCAACTTCATATGACCGTGTAGAAATACCAAAATATATCCTCAGTGTTTAGACAAATCGTCCATCAATAGCACAAAAATAAACATACCAAAAAATATAGAAGAAAATAGTAAAATATATGTTTCCAAATAACCTCTTTTATCATTTATCATTTAGTCCGCCTTAATCATCAAATTACAAACTTTAAAAATAGCTTGCATCTCAAAGATTTGCTTCAAGACAATTATAGTAAAAACACATTTAACATTTAGGATTATTAGCAATCCACCTGAGGTATAAAATCTGGATTGTAAAGGTCCAGTTGAAATTCACAGTTCAAAGTATAACATTCACAGTGGTGATTCGATTAATCCGTAATCTGCAAAATTGCAGTGTCTTCAAGCTTTAACATTACTTCACTACGCTTTAGTCAAAAGTAAGGCACTTATCTATACATTCATTTTAGTCAAATACATTGTTTAAAAATCTGAAAAAGAAGAATCAGACATTTATTGCGTAGTGTAAAAACCCGAAAAGGTAAAATCTATATACATTTTCTACATTCTGAGTGTCAATTTTAATCAACTTGTCATTCATTTTGTGGGGGTCCCCATGGAGCAGAAGCCGTGATTGTGCCCCACGGATCTGAAAGCTGGGCGTCGTACATCAACACGGAGTCATCCACTGTGGAATATCCTACTAGTCTCTGTGGAGCCTGGAGGGCGGTTTTGGTCATCTTTCGTATGGCTAGTTTAACTACAGTGACCAAGCAGATTATCACAATTAGCACAACTAAGATAAACATTGAAACGGTTACTGCAAATTTAACCAACCCCGCACCCCACGATCCAAAAGTTCCAGTTAAATCCCCAAGGGTAAACCCATGAGTTTCATGCAACTCTTTTATCCCCCTGGCGGTATCATGAGCCATATCCATGACCTCAGGTGTAGCATCAGAGATGAAAGAACAACACTCAGATCCAATCACCTTGCATGTGCCCCCCTGGGCGGCTAATAAAAGATCCAGTGCCATACGATTTTGTAATGCTACAGTCCTAACCTCCTGTAATTCTTTATGTTCGGCTAACATGGCTGTGTTAGATGCATTTAAGTGATTTTCCACTACTTTGGACAACGCCACAATTTCCTGCTGAGAAACATAAATACCGTACCATGGTAAAAATAGACTAGCCATCCGCTGTCCTTCTGTAATCGACCTGCTGTTTCTATGTAGAGAGGGAAGTATAGCTGCAATCTCATCAGTCTTCACTTTACGGATTAAAGGGATTAGATAGGCCAGGTAACAGGTGCCATAGAAAATGTCATAAGGCATACAGCCATAGGCTCGGTCCCCACAAACTAAGTAAACCCTCTGCGGGAGGGGCGTTCTGGCTAACTGCACCTTTATTACGGTATTACAGTCGCTGTGGCCCACATCTGGAGAGGTAAGAGATCCTCTTTCATTCTGGAAACAGATGGACACATTCTTCCACTCATGTACTACAACTGGGGGAACATAGACAGAACAGTCACGGGTAGGGGACTTACCTAAGGGTAATGGCTGCGAACAGTCATGTATTTTAACCTCAACTGAGTCCACTGTTCTGGAGCCGAACCAGGGCACTACTGTTACCAAAGCCTCAACCAATAAAGATGGAGTGTGTGGTTGCAGTGTACATATTGGACTGGTAAAGTTAACCGAGCAATTAGTCTGGGCTAGAGCTAATTGGAATCTGTATTCAAAAGCTAGGTTAATATATTTCTTCACATATATTAGTCTTAGGACCGTCAACTGTTTGAACCCCTCTGGCAGGTAATCTTTATTTACTGTCTCAACAATGAGCGAGATTAAACCCTTGTATTGTAGAGGTTTCTCAGAGTTTATTGGATACGAAGGAGTGTAACAATCCTCGGCCTCATCTCCAATGCGGGATGCTATGTCATTCCAGCTAACCAAACCGTAGTCAGCTTTCGTGAAAGGAATTGGGCTAAACATGGGAGAATGTACGGATTCTGGCATGTTTTGGCACAGCCAACAGTTGCTAACATTGCGTTCATGTGCATAGTCTAACATTAAACTCATTGCCGAATTGGTTTTAGTTAGTTTAGGTGGAGCGATTAAGGCCTTTTTTGAAGAATCTACATTCTCTCCTGTTTGTTTAAGTGGAGCGATTAAGGCCTTTTTTGAAGAATCTACATCCTCTCCTGTTTGTTTAGGTGGAGTGGATATTAGGGCTTTTTCCGGAAAACCTGTTTCATGATATGGTTCAATATATGTTCTAATAGAGGCGTGTCCGGCGACCCCTAAATTAGAAAAATCTGTTTCATGCTCTGGTTCAATAAATGCACATCCAGTGACCCCCGAATTGGGAGCTTTGTAATCTGGCTTCCGTGCCGTGCACTGGGACTCATATTTTAACTGTTCTGCCGTGCTACACCACAGTTCTGGGGGCATATTTGCAATGGTGTTGAGTGTTATTCTTACCATCCTTGACGAGACCCGGAACTCCTGATACTGCGTCCCTGGATACGCTTCCCACACCGTGTAGTCGCCACCCTTGCTTAAAAACACAGGGTACGTAATAACACAGTTTGGTGAGTTACATATTGCAGTTGGGCAGTCAAAAGAAACCTTCTGTGGTTCGTGAGCAGAGAGAGGGGCATTCCTCCTTCTTCTCTCTCTGTGGCTCTCTCTCATTGTACTGAATGTTAGTGTGGTGATTGGAAACAACCTGTCTTTGTCGCTAGGCACTGATTGGCCCGTTGGTGTGATTTTGCCCTCAGAGTCTGGGCCACCTGTCGTTGGAATGGTCACAGCTTCATTACATTACATTACATTACATTGCATTTAGCTGACGCTTTTGTCCAAAGCGACTTACAATAAGTACATTCGACCAGGAAGACACAACCTTGAAGAAAACAGAATCATATAAGTACATCAGGTTTCATAGAGCTAAACATTTCAAGTGCTACTCAACTGGCTTTAGGTAATCCAGTCCTTTATTAGTATAAAAGTGCTTCGTTAATCGTTCTAACGCTCGAAGTGGAGTCGAAAGAGATGAGTTTTCAGTTTGCGCCGGAAGATGTGCAAGCTATCTGCCGTCCTGATGTCAATGGGGAGCTCATTCCACCATCTTGGAGCCAGGATAGCAAACCCACGTGTTTTCGCCGATGGGAACTTGGGTCCCCCTCGCAGCGAGGGCGCAACGAGTCGTTTGGCTGATGCAGAGCGTAGTGCACGCGCTGGGGTGTACGGTTTAACCATGTCCTGGATGTAGGAAGGGCCAGATCCATTCGCAGCACGGTAAGCAAGTACCAGTGTCTTGAAGTGGATTCTAGCAGTTACCGGAAGCCAGTGAAGGGAGCGGAGGAGCGGAGTGGTGTGGGAGAATTTAGGAAGGTTGAAAACCAGACGAGCCGCTGCATTCTGGATGAGCTGCAGAGGTCGGATGGCACATGCAGGTAGACCAGCCAGGAGGGAGTTGCAGTAGTCTAGGCGTGAGATGACGAGAGCCTGGACCAGAACCTGAGTCGCTTTCTGAGTCAGCTGGGGACGTATCTTCCTGATGTTGTAAAGCGTGTATCTGCAGCAGCGGGTTGTAGCAGCGATGTTTGCAGTGAAGGACAGGTTGTTATCTAGGGTCACACCCAGATTCCTTGCAGTCTGAGTCGGGGAAACAACTGAGGTGCCGATGTTGATTGTCAGGTCAAGAGTTGGACAATCTTTTCCCGGGAGGAAGAGCAGCTCAGTCTTGTCAAGGTTGAGCTTGAGGTGGTGAGCAGACATCCACTGAGAGATGTCAGCTAGACAAGCAGAGATGCGTGCGACGACCTGGGTCTCTGAGCGGGGAAAGGACAGAATTAATTGGGTGTCGTCAGCGTAGCAGTGGTAAGAAAAACCATGCGGGCTAATGACTGATCCGAGCGAGTTTGTGTACAAGGAGAAGAGGAGGGGACCAAGAACAGAGCCCTGAGGGACCCCCGTAGTTAATTGACAAGGGTCGGACTCAGACCCTCTCCAAGTCACCCTGTAGGTACGGTCTTTCAGGTATGAGGTGAGGAGGGAAAGTGCAGAGCCTGAAACTCCAAGTTTTTGGAGAGTGCGAAGGAGGATCTGATGATTCACCGTGTCGAATGCAGCAGACAGGTCCAACAGGATGATGACAGAGGAGAGGGATGCAGTTTTGGCAGTGTGCAGTTCCTCCGTGACAGCAATGAGAGCAGTTTCTGTGGAGTGACCTGCCTTGAAACCAGACTGGTGCGGATCCAGAAGGTTGTTCTGATTGAGATAACAGGAGAGTTGTTTAAAGACAGCGCGTTCAAGTGATTTAGACAGGAACGGGAGGAGAGAGACAGGCCTGTAGTTTATAACATCAGACGGGTTGAGAGTGGGTTTCTTTAGGAGAGGGTTTACTCTTGCCTCCTTGAGACTGTTTGGAAAGTGACCAGAAGTTAGAGAAGTGTTGATGAAATGGGTGAGAAACGGTAGAATATCAGGAGCGATAGTCTGAAGGAGGTTTGAAGGGATAGGGTCCAGAGGACAGGTGGTAGGGCGGGCAGAGGTAATGAGGGTAAGAACCTCACTTGGAGAGAGAGGGGAAAAGGAGGTTAGTGTGTTGGTGGAAGGAAGGTCTGGTGACCCAGCGGTGAGTAAAGGTGAGTCAGAAAAAGAAGAGCGAATATCATTAACCTTTTTTTCAAAGTGGGTAACAAAGTCGCTTGACAGAAGTGAGGAGGGGGGAGGAGCTTTTGGAGGGTCCAAGAGGGTGGAGAAGATGGAAAATAGTTTTTTAGGATTGGAATAGGAAGATTGGATCTTATCTTGAAAGAAAGTGCTTTTTGCCTGAGAGATCGAAGCAGAGAAAGAGGAGAGGAGAGCTTGATAGGTTAGGAGGTCGTCACGGTGTTTGGATTTCCACCATTTCCGCTCTGCTGCCCTAAGGACGGTTCTATTAGCACGCAGTGCATCATTTAGCCAGGGAGCCGGAGGGGACTGACGAGCCTGCCGAGATGTCAGAGGACAGAGCGAGTCCAGAGTGGATGAGAGAGTAGAGAGGAGAGTTTCTGCAGCAGAGTTTGGAGGCAGTAGTTGGAACGAATCAGAGGAAGGGAGGGCTGAGAGCACCGACGAGGCAAAGGTAGAGGGAGAGAGGGAGCGAAGGTTACGGCGGACAAGTGTAGGATGGGAAGAGATTAGTTTGTTATGTTTGGAAAGGGATAGAGAGAATGAAATGAAGAAGTGATCGGATGTGTGGAGCGGGTTTACAGAGAGGTTAGAAGTAGCGCAGTTCCTTGAGAATATGAGATCAAGGACATTGCCAGCTTTATGAGTCGGTGGGGACGGAGAGAGTGAGAAAGCAAAGGCGGTTAACAGAGATGTTAGTTCGTCTATCTTCCCCATCTGGAGGTTGAAGTCTCCGAGAAGTACAGCGGGAGGGCCAGTTTCAGGGATGTGTGAGAGGAGATGATCTAATTCCTCCAAGAAGTCCCCCAAGGCGCCTGGTGGACGGTAGAGAACAACAATGGTTAACTGTATAGGATGGGTTACTGTGACGGCATGGAACTCAAAGGTGGAAGGAGTAAAGTTAGGTAGCTTGAAGAGGGAAAAGCTCCATTTGGGAGAGAGCAGGAGACCAGTGCCACCTCCTCTGCCAGTGGGTCTGGGTGTATGGGAGAAGGAATATGCAGTGGAGAGAGCTGCTGGGGTGGATGTGTTGGATGGAGTAATCCAGGTCTCAGTGAGAGCAAGGAAATCCAGAGACTGCAGGGAGGTGTAGCCAGAGATGAAGTCAGCCTTAGGAACAGCTGACTGGCAGTTCCACAGGCCACCTGAAACTAGATGTTGGATCTCAGTGGAGCACGTGGGATAGACGAGAGCAGGCCGGTTATATCGATTACGAGATACACGGGGCCAGTGATAATTGCGAGAAGACACATGAACAGGAATGGAGAAAATACACATGATTATAGCATGAGGGGCTAAACAACAAAATTAAAAATTAAAAACACCAACGATACTTAGCTCAATCAAAGTAGGATTTGCCTCCTCTTTGCCTCCCTCGTGACTCCTGTAGGACTCTAATGTCTTTGTCAGTCTTACTCCTGTAGGACTCTAATGTCTTTGTCAGTCTTAGCCTGTCTGCCGCTGAAGCTGACGCTCCAGGAAGGAGCTACCCGAAATGGACGCCTGATTGCTCAGTTCTCACAGCTGAAGTTAATTAGTTAACTATCTACAGCTGATGGGCGACAATAGACTGTCCCTGCCTATGTTAATAATGCAGGCTTGAGTGCTGAGAGCTGTAAAGCAGGTTTCGCCTGAGCAGATCTGAGATTTAAAATCTCTCAAAAGCGATTTAGCCGTTTAAGCTACAGTAACAATTATACAGAGTCGAATAAATGAAACCGAGAAGTCTAATTAAACAAGAATATAACTTACAGTGGTTGCTGCGTCAATAGGTAATGTTGTCACCGGGTCCAGATGCACACTGAGTTAATCAGTTTCTAAATGCGGTATTTAAATGCTTTTTGAGCTAAAGGATGACTGAGTCACGCGGTTCTACTTCACGCAATTAATAGACTGGCCCTGCCTATGTTAATAATGCAGGCTTGAGTGCTGAGAGCTGTAAAGCAGGTTTCGCCTGAGCAGATCTGAGATTTAAAATCTCTCAAAAGCGATTTAGCCGTTTAAGCTACAGTAACAATTATACAGAGTCGAATAAATGAAACCGAGAAGTCTAATTAAACAAGAATATAACTTACAGTGGTTGCTGCGTCAATAGGTAATGTTGTCACCGGGTCCAGATGCACACAGCGGGGCTACCTTGGACAGGTACAGCAGGCCCAGCACGAGGAGGATGATGACAGCTTTCACACGCCAGCCTCCGGTGGAGGAGACAGACGCCATCTGGAAGCGTTGATCCACCCCGCTCTGCCTCGTTCCCTCAGGGCCGTTCCTCGACGTCCTCTTCAGCCCGCCCGCTTATGGCGACTTCTGGGTCGGTGATAGGAGTGTTGTCCTCTGGTTCCTCCTCCTCTGCGCGGACCACGTCCGTGATGATGTCGTCTAGGGTCCTTCCCGGAGGTTTCCCCACTGCGCACTGATTCCAGTGGTACCAGATGTCTCCTTTCCCTTCCAAGCGGACAGCGTGAGATGTCCTCTGCATCACCCGATGGGGTCCAGAGAACCTGGGTCTCAGCCACTTGGGTCTGATCGCTTTCAGCCAGACGAACTCCGCAGTGTTCGCTTCGTGTTTCTCGGGTCCCCCTTTTGCCTCTGCAACCTGGGTGGAAAAATCTGCCACTAATCCCTTAAGTTGCTGGAAGTATGGTTTCGAACTCAGAACCTCTACTTCCTTTCCTACACTTAGGGCTCCTGGACCTGGGAACTGGTGACCATAAGTGAGCTCAAATGGAGAGAAACCTGTCCCTTTGTTAATGGAGCTCCTGATTGACATAAGAGCCAGAGGCAATGCGTCTACCCATTTCATGCCCGTCTCTTCACATGCTTTGCTGAGTTTTTGTTTTAAGTTCTGGTTCATCCTTTCCACTTTTCCCTGAGACTGTGGATGATAAACTGCTCCAAAACTGTGTCTTAGTCCTAGGGACTCTTCTACTGTGCGTAGGTCATGGTTCTTGAAATGGCTGCCATTGTCTGACCTCACTTTCCTAGGAAATCCATGTAATGGAATGTAATGCGTGACTAGGAATTTGATCACTGAGTCTGCATCTTCTCTTCTGCAAGGGATAGCTTCTGGCCAACCTGTGTATCCATCTACTACTACTAACAAATATCTGAATCCTCTTACTTTGTCAATCATGTCAGTGTAGTCAATGATGATTTCTTCTCCTGCCATCTTAGGTAAAGGAAACTTTCCCTGGTGTGGTTTCACAGTGGCTCTGATGTTATGGGTTAAGCAAATTACACACTCTTCTAGGTGATTTGCTATCATGTCTGGTAGGTATGGGTGCCACCAGTGGGTCAGGTGCCTGTTCATCTGAGTTTTACCACAATGCGTTGGGCCGTGTGCTTCTTTAAGCATGGATCTTATCCACTCTGGGGGTATAACCGGTCTCCCATCTGGGGAGTACCATATCCCCTCTTTGTTGGTAGCTCCCCGGTTTGACCATAGTTTTTTGTCTTGAGGAGACCCCGCTTCTTGAGCTTCTTTAAGCGTCTCATCTGTTATTGCGGGCAGCAAGTCAGCGGATTTTAAGACAAGCATTTGATACCATGGTGTATATCCTGCCTTTTCTTTAGCTGCTTTGTCCGCTGCATTGTTACCCCACGCCAAGTAGTTGTTTTCTACGTTGTGACCTTTACACTTAAGTAAAGCTAACTTGTTGGGCAACATTACTGCTTCTGCAAGCCTTTTGATCTCTTTCTCATGTTTGATGGGGGTATTTGTGGACGTTACAAATCCTGCTCTCAACCATTGTCGCATTTCCACGTGAATTACGCCGTGGACATATGCTGAATCAGTGTAGATGTTTACATCCTTTCCTTTTGATAGCTCTAATGCTGCAATGACTCCCATTACTTCTGCCAACTGTGCTGATACTTTCCCTGTTACTTCCCCAGCTGATACTTCCTCAAAGTTTCCCTCAGGTTTTTGTTTTACCACGGCATAGGCTGCTTGGAGGCCGTTTTGGGGGTGTCTAAAACAACAGCCGTCTGTGAACAGGTTTTCTGCCTGTGGGATGGGCTCGTCTCTGAGATCTATTCTTAGCTTCACATCTTGAATGATTCTTTCCTCACACCTATGGGGCTCTCCGCTACCTATGGTGTCTGCGCTGTTAACTCCTTCGTGTGTGTATGTGATGTGTGCCTTTGTCAGAGTTTTCTCCAGCCTTGTTTGTCTCGTTGAAGTCATTGTGAATGCACTTGAGTTCACAAAAGAGACAATGCTGTGTGTTGTCATCAAAGGATGGCCCATCACAATGTGTGAAATCTTGTTTAAGATACGTGCTGTACCTGCCGCGTGTCTCATGCAGGGAGGTTCTCTGTTTTCCACTCTGTCCAGTGTAACACTGACATACATCAATATTGTCCTACAACCCCCCTTTTTCTGAAAAAGAATCCCATTTACTGTGTCTTCATTTTCAGAAACATCAAGAAAGAATGGTAATGCATAGGATGCAGCGGCAAGAGCCGTGACTTGGGACATGGATTGTTTGAGAGAAATGAACGCAGCTTCTGCCGCTTGTGTCCAGTCTAGTGTGGCAGTGAGATTGCGCATGCCTTTCTCGTTGATGAGTTTTCTGAGTTCAGCTGTTCTTGGGTTATACTCTGGGATGTAGTGTCTGCTGTAGCCTGTGAGGCCCAAAAAAGACAACATGTCTTTGACTGTCTTGGGTTTCGGGTGGTTCAAAATGTGTTCCTGATGCGCTGCTGACATGCCCGTGCCTGCTGGGGAAATCACTCTGCCCAAAAATGTCACCTCTTTACGGGTGCATTGTAGCTTTTTCTTGGAGACTTTGAACCCTGATGTGTGGAGGCGCACCAGTAGATGTCTGGTGGCCTCCAAACAAGAGGCTGCAGAAGGTGCTGCGATGAGAAGGTCGTCTACATACTGTATTAATACTACCCCCACTGGCAATGTAACGCCCTCTAGCTGTTCCCTGAGCACTTTGTTGAATATTCCTGGAGACAAACTGAAGCCTTGTGGTAGTCTTGTGTATTGTAGTTTCTCCCCTCCTATTGTAAAAGAAAAAATAGGTCTCATACTCTCTGCCAGAGGTATGCAGAAGAAAGCGTTGGCTAGGTCAATACAGGTGAACCATGTATGTTCAGGTGAGACATTACAGATAGCCGTGTAGGGGTTAGGAACTGGTATCAGAGCTGTAGTCGTAATAGCATTAATGGTTCTCAAATCATGAGCCATTCTGTACTCCCCGCTAGATTTTGATACAGGAAGTATGAGTATTCCAAAGGCTTTGTGAGGGTTCTAACACCCCTGCTTTCTTCAGTCCCTCAACTGCCTTGTCAACACCCCCTTTTGCCTGTGGCTTGATCGGGTATTGTGACCGGCTCACAGGCACAGAGCTGCTCACCTCAAATGTTACTGGTGTGGCTTTCAAGCAGAAACCTACATCATGAGAGTGCGACGCCCACAGGTCAGACGGGAGATCACGCAACATGTCAACTGTATATGCATGGTCAGTTTTTTCCCTACCATGATGTCTATCTACTTCGTGTCTTTCCATGTGGATGCATTCTTGTGTGTAGATTTTAAGACGATACGCTCTGTGTGAGGGAGAGTATGTCAGTGCTGCGATCTGCGTAGGTTCCCAATCTTCGACTTCTAGCAGCGTCTTTACCATGGGACCAAGTTCTTTAGCTTCATAACCCTTTCTGATAGCTAATGTAATGTGTGGTGTGGACTCAGCAGACAAACGGTACCAATACAGTTGTTCATCAGAGAGCTCAACCGACGCAGCCACACCCGCCTGTCCCACAAAGAGATTTGTCGTGGTAACGTCCCACACGGCCATAGACACCTCATTATCATACTCATATTCATAACTTAGGTCGTCTCTTCTATCATAATTCAGCGTCAGGTGGAGGGGGTCTGGAGGGGGGCCATAAGGCCTGAGGAGGTTAATCCATGGCTTCCATTGTTGAAAAATGGAATACAGTCCAGGTGTGTTGTCCCGAGGTCGGTCCAACAGTCCCCAGAATATAGTGGCATGTTGGGTTGCTTCTGCCTCAGTGGACTGGGCCAACATCATCTGAGAACCTGATTTTATGGTAGATAACGAACAATTGATGGTTGTGCCATTTGGGAATGATATTATCAGTCCATCCGGGGAACAGAGGATGGAGGCATTCGCTTTGATCAGAATATCCCTACCCATGAGGTTAGCCGGGCTTTTTGGTGCAAGAATATACTGGTGTAAGAATGTCTGTCCTGCTATCTTGGTGGATAACAGCGTGGAAAGCGGTATTTTCTCTATTTTTCCCGAAAACCCTATGACTGAGACTGTTGTAGATGTTTTGGACGCCTTGAAGACGGGAGAATTGATGGTGGAATATCTTGCTCCTGAATCAACAAGGAATGGTAGGTTTGAGTCTTTAACAGTCATATTAATGTATGGATCCGCCAGGCCCGTACATCCAGGGTTCCCTGGGCGTCTTCATTCTTCGTAGTATTCCCCCTCATACAGGACAAACTGGCCATAGGGGGCGGCCATAGCATTAGGGGCAATGTGACCCTGGTTTGGTTGTTGCGGCAATGGGACAGCCTCCTGGGGTGTCTGGATATATGGTCTCTCCGATCCGTTCCCCCCTTTAGCCCGCCCCCTTCCAGGTGGGGCTCCATGTGGGCACTGCTTGAACCAGTGATCTGGCTGTCCGCAAATGAAACACACCTTCACGTATTCCAATCTAGGAGTCATCCCAAAGCCACCTCGACCTCTGACCCCTCCTCTGAACCCGCCCCTCTGTCGCCAAGAGCTATTATTGTAGCCAAATTGGGGCTGACTATAGGGCGGACCCTGGTTGGAAAGGCCCCCTTTTGGGTTTTGCTGCCCCTGTGGCTGCGCGGCCGGCGCTACTGGGTGAACAATCAACTGTTTGGCATTCTTTTTGTCATTCTGAACTGTTTTCCGGGCTATTTCCAGCTGCGTTCGCAGTAACTGCACCTTCAACTCCTCTTCCTCAGTTTTAACCTCTGTATGTTGTTTGTTGAATTTACTCAAATGATGGGCTAAATGACGTTCCCACGTCTGTGTGTTTAACTGATCTACCTCTCGATTGTCCTCCATCAGACTTTTAATTTCTTTCGGCACTGCTGCAAGCACTGCTTTACGGAACATCTGTATATGTTGGTCATTATTATCTGGACTGTAGTCAGTTGCCATTGTGTATTGTTGGCGTGCCCTGAGCAACATGGTTGCTGCAGCCTCTCCAGGTGTAAATGTAAATGACAGTGATCCGTAACCTCCCCCTGTCTGTGGGAAATGCTCTCTCATTGCTTTGCCCAGCTTGCTGTGAACATCGTCAAAGGAAATAGGCACGTCATCTTTCATTGTCGATGTTCCTGATCTATCCTCAACTCTTTCTACCTCATAATAGGAAGTCTGTTGTGCTAGTATTCTCCTGAAATCTCCCAGACAGATAGTCTGTCCTACAGCCATGTCCGCAAACCTTCGCATCCAATGTCTCCCTCCCTCAGTAGGCAACGGCATTTTATCGATCAGCGCATGTATGTCCCCTAGTGTGAAAGGATGATAAGCCGTCTTTCCGTTTTGCGCGGCCACTAAAGGCGCCTGTAATACTGGATAAATAAAAGCATGCTTGGTGGGGTCTTCTGCGGTGTGGTGAGACCTTAATCTGTTACGGGGCATTGAAAGAACCTGATCTACTTCCACTAGTTCACCTATTGTTCCCGTCAGAGATATCTGCTTAACTTTGCACCTCGCCCTCCTGCTGTCTTCCTCTTCCTGAGAGCTGTCTTTACGACCCTGGCCTCCTGCTCCATTGTAAAACCCCCCAGTTTCATGGCTTGCTGTTTCCCTATCCCTTTTATGGCCCGCTATCTCTCTATCACTTCTGTGGTTCGCCGTCTCTTCCCCACTTTCATGGCCCGATGCCCCCCCCCTCAACACCTGGGTAATTAGACGTATACGTTTGGCGTGATCTGTTCTGAAAAGGATCACATCTCTCCCCCTTCTCTATATCTTCTAGCGAGCCCTCATATCCGCTCTGTTCCTGTCTCCTGTCTTCCTCCTTGCGTCTATCTTGAATCTGTTGTTCATAGCACCGCCTTTCTCGCATTTCCCTCTCATCTAGGAGGTCAGTTGTGTATGTTATGTCTGCCTGTGTAGCGCCTGAGTGGCTCTTTGTAAGATTTGTCAGAAGGGAAGTCAATTTTTCTGAGGTGAGCTCCTTATCAAGTGGTCGACTGTCCCTGCTCGGGGAAACCCCCTCCTGGTCTGTGTTAAAACTAGGCCTCCGCGTGGTGTGTGCGCTTTCTAGTCTGTCTAACGGGGAGGAAACCTGTTTTTGTTTAACATTTAGTCTTTTCTTTGGAGTAGGGACGCCCCTTAACGGACTCAACGCTACTGTTCCCACCATCCTATAGTTCCCTACGCTCATGGCCGCCTCCTCTCCTTCTGTGTCCGATGTATCTGCCACAATCATTTGCAATTTATTTGCGTTGTCGTCGGGTAGAGTATAAGGGGGAGGGGGCTGTGTAGTCAGACTACCTAAATCCGGGTAAAGGAGAGAGGAGCGGGTGGGAATAGCCGGATTTTGTATGGGCGTAGTTAGAGATTTCTGCTCTGAGTTAGAGACAACATTATTTTGCATTCTTTTAAAATATTCGACTCGTTCTGCTACATAATCAAGAATGTCTCCATGTGTAGGCACCTCCGTGTCTTTAATACCATGAGGGAACAGAAGAGTGTTAACTTCATCTGTTTTTATGGGGCTTTGGATTGCCATTGCACCCGGGAGATTTTGGTCTGTGACGGGAGGAATATTAATTCCAATCATTACGAGGGCAGCATTGTGACAAACCCTCCTCAATCTATCTAGTGCCTGTTGTTGCTTGTTCCATTTGCTACGGGCAAACCATCTGGGCTTCTGTTCGTTTAGGTGTGCAAGTTGCTTTACAATCTGTCTTTCATATAAATTCAATGCTGTGCCCAAATTACCTACGGTGTCGTCATCCCCCACTCTATTCTCTGTTATCATTGTATCGTGTAGGAATCGGAGATCCGTACAAGCCTTTTCTTTAGCCCCCTGTTTGATTCCACTTAAAATCAATCTCTTAATCTGTTCCCATTGCTCCCGGTAACTCCCTGGAATTTCAGAATAGTCCTTACCATTCTGTCGTTCCATATTCACTTCGCTTTTATTTATCTGACTTAATTAATATGTGTTCACTTGTATTCATATACTGGGCTATTGTCGTTGTTATTATTAACGTGCTTCCCGTCTTCAATACCGGCCAGCAATGTAATGATGAAACTCTAAGTTTGAAGCTAAAATATATACAAATGTCAAGGGTGTGTTACCCCCTTTCAGCCACTAGATGGCAGCAGCAGACCACAAATGAGCTTCACTCTTCTGAGTGCCTCTTTTATCCCCGGAGACAATTGAAAAATCACACAGATTTATTCCCCGTACAGTTTGTCCAGCTTTTATAATGTGATGTTTATTTCAACAGGCTAGTGGACCCGAATGATGCTTCGACACTCTTAAAGAATGTGACCATTCCATGGGGAACTCCCAGGTCGTGAAAAGCCCTTTATCACACGTTTAGCTTTTCAAATTAAGTTTACAGACCAAGGGAAAACGAGAGACGGTCCCGTCACAATTTTTTGTGAGGTTCGCGTTCTCTCCCTCGATTGGTATATAACAGAACTCTGGCTTTTAGCTTTCAGCCTTAGTCTGTTATTTACCCCAGTTTTAGACGGCGACCCGATCTGATATATCGAGTTTTCAGGTTTTGTCGTGCAGGAATCAAACCTCGCACCCACAAACTGCCCCGTCTCCACGCCACTCAGGAATAATCTACCTGCAGATCCGCGCCAAACTGCTCTATTTTCGTTACGCAGGACTTTTGGTCTACCTGTCGATCAACGTTTGCGTTTTGTATATAACTTTCCTAACATAGTAAAATATGCATTGTATATTCCATTTAAACTTTAAAAACACTGTGAAACACCTACAGACAATCCTAAAGTTTTAGTGTATCCAATTTCAGACAGTCGAATTTCATAACAGGCGTCTGTACCTTTGTGTAGAGTTGTGCAGGGCCCTGCTGATTGTCTGAGAAGTTTGAAAGCGTTTGTTCTCGACCCATTCCGGTCGTCTGGATTCTTCCTCAGCTTCGTTATATCTGGCACGTCAGGGGTCACCACTTTGTTAGAGATTAAAAGGGATATCTGGTCCGTTTTTCAAATCTCTGCGCGTCCCTATCAAGCTGGTTAATACAGGAAGAAATCCAGAGCTACCAAGTAAACAATATCTACTTTAATGGTAATATTACAATGCAATACAGTCAATACAGTACAAACTTAATACAAATTACCTTTGGGATCCCGAATTTACCTGCACGTGTGCCAGCCAGAGGAAAGAGACTGAACACAGCGTGTGTCTCTGTTTTTATATTAAACAATGGGAGGAGTTATCTGATCCTCCCTTTGGACCTCCTTGATTAGATCACAAATACCACAGATCTTAGTTTATCTGATCCGCCCTTTTGGACTTCCCCAATCACTGTAGCTCAGTTCCATTATCTCTAGATCTAAGTTGAATGCAAATCAATACATGCTCTCACCTTCCTTTGTCCTCAAAAACACATGTCAACAGGCCCCACATCCAGCTCACAGTTCCACCCAAATTATTCCCATTTTAAGCTTATCCATAGTTTGCTAACATGAATAAATACAAATATAACTCTACAATCCATAGATCTCTTAATGTTGCTCTCAAAGTGCACCAGATTGATGCTTTTAACTTCAATATTGAATTGGCCCAGGCCCTCCCATTTGACATTATTGCCCTCCCCCAATAAACACGATTTTTATTATTTATAAAAATTTAAAAAAATTGTTTTTAATTGTTTTTGTTATAAATAAACTGAACTTTTATGCTACGATGTATGTGATGTCAGATAGTAACTAAAACAAAAAAATCGCAGGCTACGTCAAATAATTTCATGTGTCTGTTCTGATTTGTGATTCGTCCACATTTAGACCAATCACAGCGTCACACTCTGCCGCCTATTCTGGATTTGTTTATTGTTTATTGTGCATTCTGTAGACTCCCATTTATGTTTGAATTACACAATGGACATCAGAAATTGTCTCAAAAGGTCTAAGGATTTATTAAAACGAAATAGCGATGAAAGAACTGCAGCCGATGCAGCTGCCGTTGCAGCAGCATGCCTTAATGTCACAAGCTTGACCTCGGCAAACCCCGGGGCTGAGTTAGCGAGCCCAAGCCTTGACTCATCAAGGCGGCCGCCACCAACGCTGTCCTCCGAGGCACAGCTCCTTGTGCCCCTACCATCACCACCTGCGTTGCCACACCCTGTACCCCACCCGCCAGCATCCTCCTCCTGCTCTGTGCCGGTGCCTCCACTACAGACGCTACCTTGCAGCATATCAACAGGTACTATTGGGCCAGCAACCGCTCAAAGACCAACAGCCCCAGATGATCTTGGGGTTAATAAACCCAACCAGGTGAAACTGGATCGTTATCCAGGGAGATTGTTTTCAGGAAAGAAGCGCACTTTTGCCACCGCATGGTACAACAGACCATGGCTTGAATATTCGTTAAAAGCAGACGCAGCCTTTTGTTTCCCCTGTAGACACTTTAAAGTAAATACGTCTTCATCTGATGCGGCTTTTACTGTCAAAGGTTTTTGCCACTGGAAACACGCATTACAGACTGATAAAGGACTGCTAAGACATGCCGTATCAAAAGAACACATTTCATGTGAGAGTTTGCGGAGAGAGAGACAGATACGCGAGGAAACAAATAAGGAAATTAGTACTTTGGTGCAGATCAGCTGGCACGGAGCCGTTATTACGTTTATTTCTATGTTGCCCTTTATTTGTGTATGTATTTGCGTGCGTATGTATTTGATAAGTGTGCGTCTTTGCGCAATGCTGTTGGCCTTGCTGTTTGATATATATATATATATATATATATATTAGGGCCGGGACTCGATTAAAAAAATTAATCTAATTAATTAGAGGCTTTGTAATTAATTAATAAAAATTAATCGCATTTTTAATCACATATAAATATTTGACCTAAGAACAGTGAGAAGCAATTTTTTTCACATGGATTTTAGTATACCATTAGGCGCATTCACACCGCAGTACTTTTCCCACAAAGGTTCATGAGAACTTAGTTCATGAGAACTCTTTGAACCTGGGGGTGGATTAGGCAAATGAAGCCGCTGACGTCACTTCTTCTTCTTCTGCTTTGGGTTTACTGGCAGGCCGCAAACCACTTCACGGCGTATACTGCCGCCCATAGTCCACGGCCGGAAGTCCCCGGAGTTGGGGACTGGCTTCAGTAGAAGCTGCTGGGAGTCCCAGCAGCCTTCCGAGTAAATCGCCAGAACGCCGACACCTCCTCATCTCCACCGCTCCCATGTTTTATTTTGTGTTGCCATAAGTTAGTCTCTCTGCGTTTCTGCGCTGGGCTAATGCTAATAATGCTAATGCGAGGATAATAAAATGGCGGCTTCACAAAACTTTTTGCGAGTTTTACGGGGCGTGGTTTGCAATCCGCCCAGCCAATCAGAAATATAGCTCTTTTCTCACAAGAGAGCCGTACGAAAGTCCCTGCTCTCTAGCAGCTCTCTGCTCTCTAGCAGGGACTTTTGTGGGGGTAAAAAG